ACTCTCTGAATCACATACTAATTTTGTTAACCATACAAAGGCTGTGTACTTATTAAACAACCACAGCAGGTGTGTTATGCAGTCACCACACTACTGCAGTTTGCATGTTTAGACTTTATTTTCTGCAATTTTACTCATCTACAAAATCTTGTGCATAAGATAAATTTAATACACAATATATGGGATATGTGTCAAACCCTGAGTTTATTTATGTGAATCTGATTTACAACATTATATGTCACTGTAAGACTCATGACTTTAAAATATGTTAACATAACAAAGCTCAATATAAAAACATGGCCTCAGTCACAAAGTTGCAATGCATACAGGTAAATTTGTATGTCACACAAGGTATGAAAACATAAATAAATATGTCCTTGTAAATGACAAGAATGTGAAACAAAACTGTACACATACATTTTTTCAAAGTGCTATCTTCACAATGAAGGTTGGTCACAGTGAACCCTCTGCTGTGTTTAGGAATATTATGTGAAGCGACTCCAATCTCTTCCATGGTATGACTCTCATACAAGCATCAAAACACCACGACAGTGAGCTTTTTTATTTCAATGTCAACCATCAACGCTTGAACTCTAGCGCTCATGGATCATCCCACTGTAACACTCATTCACTAACCTCTGTGCTACAGAGCCGCACTTCATTCAGGCAGATTATTTAATTTCAGCTTAATAAATACTGAACATCACCCACCAAGTGCCGACTGGTCTATACAAATAGAAGTTAAGCCCTTTATTCCCAATATGCCTAAAGGCGTGGAAAAGGGACCTTTACTTACTTTTACTTTAATAAATACTGAAGCAACCAACGGTGTTACTCTTCCACAATGTAAACTGGTCAGCTCTGAAATACTGTGAAATACAGAAGAATTGTTTACCAAACTGTCACCTCCTTCTTCTTCCTCTTTTCTCTACTCCTGGAAAGCCTCGCAGCGTCAGGGCAGAAAGAGTTCGCTGGAACGGGCCCTTCTGTTCGCTTCATATAAAGTACTTTTCAGTGTCCCTGATATTTCTGCGGTCCATCTTCTACGTGGTCGACCTCTGGATGTTACTGCTGTATCTGTATTGTGACCAAGTTTAGCAAAAGATGAACAAAAAACAACTGTGCAAAATTTACCATAACAGTCAATTTAATCTTGACTACCACAAATACACACATTAGTGTCAAAACCGACATAAGACTTATTTCAGGTTCAACTGATAAGTGCAGGCGAATGTATAGTTCAGAAATTAAGTGCCTTCTGTATTTACTTTTGGCATCTGTATATGCAGATAATCTTGCTGCACAGAGACATGTAGCTGAGAATGGCAGCAATTCAAATTTCACTTTCTCAGACAAGATTTTAAATTTGTTTTGTAATTGCAGCCAAAACTACAGTAGACGTTGGTTTTGAAACACTGTCTGTTTGTTTGTCTGTCGTCTTGTGTTACAATTCTGGAGCCTCTAGCAGCAGAATGATCAAGTAGAGAAAGTGCAAGATTCAACTTGGAAAATTTCCTTCCAGAATTCAATTTCTAGTTTTCTTATTGTGTTTCTCCTTTTTTATTTCTAAATCTTAAATTTCATTTTTATTAATTTTCTTGGAGCAGCCACGGCGCCCCTAAAAGGTGCAAGCAAACCCGCCGGGAATCATTGCATGAAAGAAACATCCCCAAACCACATGAGTGTGATGATGTATTTAACAGTAATACCTGCACAGAAACATCATAAATCACACCAATTGTTGATGCTGCCTTTAACAGTCAACATGGCAATAAAACAACATTAGATACCTAAATCATAATTTATAAACTAACAAAACCAATGCAATTTCACTACATTAATATTCAATTTGACTGAGTGAAGTAACACACGGATGTAACACACATTATATCAGTATTATCTGTGCTGGTCTTTCAAGACAAAAGTAAAACACACAATCAATATTACAAGATGGGTAGAAGTTGACCGTTTCACGCAGACATGCATCAGTAACTGAAGCAGGATACACAAGTCTGCTGTTTACAGACAAGGAACACCTAGAGTTACTCCAGGATAAACTGTCTATTTAACTGACACATACATGAAAAACACTACAGCAATAACCAAAATAAAAACTTTCAATCAACTGATGATGATGTTGATGATGGACGATGGATAAGGCACAATTGTTCAAATAAGTTCTCTCTCCTGCCATTCTTGGAACAATATAATAAACAGATTATAAAGCATTACTCATGGAGTAAATCAAACAAGATTCTATGAGGATATCCTGTTAAGAAAAGTTGTGATGCTCAGAAAAAAAATTCATAAGAAAAGACCATAGCAAAATATTCATCAAGGCTATAATATTTCTTGAAGAGAGCCGAGCAAGGTTAAAAACAGGAAATTTTTAGATTTAATCAAAGAATTCAGTCAGGAAAAATCCTTGAAGTTATGAAAGATAAGACACAGTTAGAAAACCACGTGGTGTTTAAAATTTAACCAAGAGAAATGAAAAACAAAAATCAGAAGTGTTTCCTTCAAAGTCAGAGTGCATTTGGCTAAAAGGCAAGGAACCAACAGCCTGCATACAAAAAAGCCATATCTGTAAAATGGATGCACACAGAAAACTAACAAGACCAAAGTCCAGGAGTGGACCCAAAAAAACCAGAACTTTATGCCAGAGTTTCCAGCCAGTAAATGGAGGAAGAAGAAGAAGACTGTGTGACAATAAACAGTAGTGACCAACATTGTGTCAAAGTCATAGCAATTCACTCCCCATAAGATCCCTCGCTGTGTAGGTTCCAGAATTCCATTGTGGGAAAAACCAGAACAGACCCACTGTCTCCCCAACAAGCCTGTCATAAGAGTTGACTAATTGGGGGCTTCCTTCAAAGTCGGAGTGCATCTGCCTGAGAGGCAAGGAACCAACAGTCTGCATACAATTAAACAAGATCTGTAAAACGGATGCAGGGGGTTTACAGCTGGTGAATGCAAACAAATAACAAAAACTCCCCATAAGGTCAACAGCTGTAGCTTAGGGATTGTGTGTGCAGTACACAATCTGAACATCATGAATCTGAAGTCAGCTAGTCAATTTGGCAGCGGACTGCTCTGTGTTGACTTTGACAATGGTATGAACATACCACTCAGAAAGGAATGACAAACAATTTAATGTAAAATAACATAGTAACACCATACAACTGACAACAAATGCCTGGGTTGAATGATAAGTGATGTCCTGTTGAGGACATTCAACTCACTTTTTCCGTGTGTGGTAAGTGTCTGTATATAGATAACATTTTTTTTTTAAACGTATCCAGAAACCATGAGTTGTAAACCCTTTGGCTCGGTACTATGGATATCGCAACCCTTCGGCATTGATTACATTATAGGTGCCGTAAATCTGGGAGAAATGTGGCTTTTCTGCCTACCCCCGGGAGTGAACCCGGACCACAAGGAGTTGGTCACCCGGCCGCCGCGAAAGTCAGGTTTAACCAACTTCGCTAGAGAGCCGGGCATATAGATTACATAAGCTCTGTCTCTCAGCATCTGCAACAGGACTCGCCGGTAGATGACTTTGTGGCTGGTAGCGACAATGTTTGGGTCTGTTCCCTTTGATCACATCAACACTGCAAGAGTCTGTTTCAGGGCTTCATGGTGGGGAACAATGCAAAGCCATTTTATATCGCGCACATGAAACAAGAGAAGGAGAGAGACATGATATGTGAAATGACCAATGAAAAAGAATAAAAGCTACTTGACAAGAGAAAAGCCAGACAGAAAGAATTAACTCTTTCAGTCCTAAGGAAAGTATCATGTGTTCACAGGTTCCTACCTAGAAGCCCAGTGAAAGCAAAATGCGCCAATTTTACATCTATCTTGACTATCCCTTGGGCCTCTGAGGCTTAACTCCTGGGACTGAAAGAGTTAAGAAAAACTTCTTCTTCTTTTACCCTTAAAAAAAATGGGACTTGGAACACTTCACACAGAAATCCTTTATTTATTTATTTATTTACTTTTTTTTAAATATTAGATAGAAGGGGAACAAATTATTTTACAGTTTTAACCAAAAAAAACTCCCTGTGTAAGCATGACGTAGAGTTACAAAAGACAACTAATCAGGACTGTTTCCTTCAAAGTTAGAGTTCATCTACTAAAGAGGTAAGGAACCAACAGTCTGCACACGAATAAACTATAACAGTCAAATGGATGTGCATGCAAAACTCAAGTTCTGGAACAAGACCAAAGTCCAGAGGGTGATGAATAACCACAGCTGTTTGCTGAAGTTTACAGCTAGTGAAAGCTAAGAAGGAGGGGACCTTATTAACTCTTTCAGAACCAGGTAACTCACAATATGTTCGTTGGTAACTCTTTAAAGGGCACACATTTCTTTACACTTTCTGTCCAATTCTTCTGTTATGGTGATGTATCCTATTTAAACTGTTAGCTTCTTCTGCTTCAAAGCTGCATTTTTCAGTTTTGTAGTACCAAACAGTTGTTCTAAAAAAAAATTTAAAAAAGTAAAGGACCCTTTCCACGCCTTTAGGCGTATAGGGCATATAGGGCTAGACCTATATTTTTATAGACCAACGGCACAAGAGGGGTGATGTGGTCAGCATCACGCCTGCCGCCTCTACTTCCCGGGATTGCAGCTGGTACCCACTCAAGGCTGGGTCGAGCAGTTGTTCTAGAATGTGAAAACTTTATGACACAGTGTTGTGAGGTAATCTGCCTGGGAAAGAATACTAAAAGAAAAAAGAGACAATAACATGAAAAAGGAATCCATACTAACAGAGATGAAAAATGTATAGGATGGTATAACCACAACTTGGAAGCTACAGTAAGGTGAAATCATTCCAAAACACTTTTGACATACACAAAACTATATATCATCTGTATAAATATAAATAGCAGACATAAAACAGGGAATTAACTCTACTGCAGCCTTGTAGCAAGAACAGATGTAGAAGAAATCCAGGAGGAAGAATAATCATGCGAACAAACACTGGTTTCATGCCTTATGAAAATTTGTCAACTCTAATCGTGAGAGGTACTTCTGGACGTCGAACTACTGGAAATGTGTCTGTTTGAGTCTTTTTCTTGTCCTCTCGCCTGAAATGACAGAAAAGTTTACATTGACATCAGCATTACAATAGTCAGCTAATGTTAACCACTCAAGTACAAAACTGCTAAGGGGTCTTTTCAATTTTTTGGCTCTAACTTCCTTCACACGACATCACTCTATCACAACAATCAGTAACTCAGTAACTTCATGAAATATATATATATATATATCTGTGTATGCGTGCGTGTGCATGATTATGTATCCTTACATGTGCGTGTATTTATCTCAAATACAGAAAAGCATAAAATATTGCTCTGCTCTGCATTTTCAGCTAACAGAGGTTTGAGAAGGAAAGAAAGAAAATACAAATAAAATTTGCTAACCAATTCTTCCATTATTTGATACTAAGCAACTTTTTCAGACCAAACTGAAGGTATGCAGGGCTGCACTGCTTTCAGTGCTGCTGTATGCTTGTGAAACATGGACTGCATACATATGTCATGCAAAGAAGGTTAACTACTTTCATACATTCTAAGAAAACTACTGAAAATCAAGTGGCAAGACAGGGTCCCAGATACTGTCGTACTGGACAGAGTTGGCAGTCTCAGCATCAATACCATTCTGATGCAGACATAGGTTCGATGGGCAGGTCATGTCGTCTGCATGCCAGACCATCAGCTCCCTAAAATAATCTTGTGCGGTGAGATACAGGAAGGCAGGCATTCTCATGGTAGCCAGAAAGAAAAACAGCTTCAAGGATACACTAAAGGCATCACTTTAAGCCTTAAACACAGACCTTGACACTTCAGAGGCTGGTAAACGTCTATCCAAAGAGGGGTAGCAACTTGCGAGGCTTCTTGAAAAAGAACAGCTGAATAGTGAATGAAGGCTAGAAAGACCCCATGTCACCGGCCCTTTACCTACAGACACTGTTCCCTGCACTCATTGTCCTAGATCCTTCCGGGCCCCTATTGGGCTTAAAAGTCACCCCTGGACTCACAGAACTGAACTATAGTTTTATGACGGATGAAAGACAGAGTGGTTCTCATCACCTGTGATGGATGAACAGCACTAAGCAACTAAACAATGTCTACTAGTTATTCCATACTCCTTGATTTATCCAGTCCCAAAGGTTGCTTTGCCTTCAGCTGACTGCGCTGTTTGTTTTTTAAAATTCACTTAGTCTCATATATTTAACATTTTCAAGGAACAAACCTTAGAAAGAGTTAATAACTACAGTTCAAAACAAAATTCAGATTAAATGCTGCCCAGAAGAGAAAGAGGAACATCAACTTACATCCTCTTCTTTTCTTCAGCAGCCTGCAGTATCAGTTGTCTCTTTTCAATGTCTTCTTGTGTGGAAAAGTCATCCGCATCTAAAATACCTTTATCAGCGGACAGGAGCTGTAGAAGAAATATCATGTTTTTTATCTACTATCTTTAATCTGTGCTGGCAAAGTTGGCACAGTGCGACTTTAAAGATCACATATTGCTTGACGTTTTGTTCTTTCTTTACCAAATATAAATGCTGTACAGGCTACAGTATTACATCTACGAAGACAGACATATTAAAAATTTAACACTAGAGACCCAAAAAAAATTAAAGTAACAGATCAATTTACTTGTATAGTTAGTAATAATGATAGTCAAGGAAACACAAAGAAACAATTATGACATGCATTGGTAAGGAATCAGCAGCTTGTAAAAGCATGAACAAAATATGGAACTCTTAAATTGTAGTTGTAGAACCAAGTTATGTATTTTCAATTCTAATGTTATTTTAGTTTTAACATATGACAATCACTAAAGATATGGAACGATATTTAAATCCACTTGAGGAAAATTCTGAACATAAAATGGAACGCCTTCAAGAGGAATGAAGAAATAAGAGAAATGCCTCGACAACCACTAGTATCAACAGTTATAAGACAACAAAGATGGCAACTCTATTGGGCATATTCTGAGAAGAGACAAATTGAGAATCACCAAAAAGGCAACGAAATAGGAAAAATACAGGGACTGAGAAAACAAAAACGTTCAAGAGAAACCCTAATGTGAACGCTGAGGAGAGAAGCCAAAGATGCTGAGCTGGATTCCATCCATGATATTAAAGGATAGAACGTAATGAAGAAAAGGACTCCAAGTCCTATGTGACAAATAATGACACAACACGACAATGAATGAGAGAAAGGAGAAAGGGAAGACATTAAAAACTGGTATTCAAAAGATTATAGCAGAAGGCATGGTACCAGGAAGGAGGAGCAGGGGCCGACCGACACAAAGATGGGCACAGGATGTATGTGACTCCTTGAGTGTGAAAGTGCAGGAGGCGGGAGAAATGATGAGAGACTAAGTTTCTTTCAGGCAGACTGTGATGAGAGCGGCGTTCTGCAAAGGACCTGCTACAGGATGATGATTCAAAAGATAGATCAACAGAGACTCAGAGGTTTCTGGGTGCTGAGAGGTCAGTTTTTAACTTATATCCAAGTACAGTTTTGCTGAAGAGGCTGATTCATGAGTTTGATTATCATCATGCTTCAGGAATTAAACACAGATAGATATGAGAGTCTGGATACATTAGTTATATAAATCCTACAGATGGGGAAGACATGGGCAATGTCTGCTGGTGAAGAATGGGGTGAAGCATGTGGTTCCTGACCTTGGCCAGTGGAATCATAGTACACTAGAGGTTCAGGGTATGCAGATAGATAATGGGGACACAACCTGGAATTAAGTAAATGCTTACGTTGCTGCTGATGCTCCTGTCACAAAGGAACACTGGGACTGACTCCAAAGAGTTGGAGGATATCTTGGTAATACGCTTCTTATTTGTGGGGATTTCAATGTGCAGAACGGAGCATGGGACGATACTAGGGAAAACAGACTAGGCAATGCTTTAGCAGAGGCAATGATAGATGCAGATGTAGTCTGTATAAACGACGGTAGGCCAACCAGAATGGCAACAAGACCTGGTGATGCAGACACTGCTATTGATTTGGTGTTTCTTACCCAGTCAGCAGTGCTGGACACAAAATGCAGTGTCCTAGGCAATCATGGGAGTGACAATATGCCATGCTCAGTCTTGATTTCTAAAGCTATCAGGGTCAAGGCTGTGAGAACTTGCAAGATGTATGAGAGGGCTAGCACCCTTCTTTGACACCTTCGACATAAAATATGCAGCAGAACCAGTACCTCTGCTTGTGCAGCCTCTATGGTGGACCCAAGTAGTCAAACAGATATCAAGAGAAAAGCAGCTAGCAGCAGTAAAACAGTTACAGAAAGTCCAAAAGACATCTCACAGGTTACAGGAGGATGTAAAGAAGCTAGAAAGAGTTGGAAAAGAAAAAGTAGAAAAGTTCAAGCAGTGTGCAGCAGATAAACACACAAACAAAAAATACTAAATGGGAACATTTTATGAGGGAAACTGGAGGGGATAAATCAGTGATTAGGTTTTGAAAACTTTACAGACAGATGCAAAGAAAGGATCAGCCTATCACAATAGGCATTATATACACTGATGTCAATGGCAACAGACAAAAAGAAAAGGGAAGCATTTTTAAGAGATTTATAGCCCAAACTGATCATAATGATAGGGAACTTAAAAATTCAGTTAGAGATAATATGTTTGATACTATAAAAGATAATTATATTCATGATATCATTAGGGTGGAGGATATAAAATATATATTGCAAAAAGCAAAAAACACTGCGCTGGGGCCAGACGGAGTCAGGTATGCCCACATGAAGAGCATAAGTAACGAAGATTTAAAGGAGATGGCTTCAACAGCCCAAGACTGGGTACATAGCTATCTAATCCCACTTCCAAAACCAGGCAAAGATCATTCCAAACTCAGTGGTTTCCGAATTATCACCCTACAAAATACTTTTGGCAAGGTTCTAGAGAAGATTATTGCAGTTAAACTACAAATGATTTTGGAAAGGGAAGAGCTCTTGCCAAAATGTTTTCGTAGTTAACGGCCAAGGAAAGATATCTGGTCAAATGCAGCTATTTTTGCTTTTGATATTTATGAGGTGTTCTAGAATAGAAAGGAGACGGTAGTGGCAGCGCTTGATGTTGAGGATGCCTACAAATGTCAGATATGATATTTTGATATCTGCGCTCACGGAGAAGGGGGTCAAAGTGTCCGAACAAGAATCGTAATTGTAACTGACTCACAGAGTGTGTTGAGAAAGGTGGAGACAGGCGTGCTCTGTGCAGAGTGGCAACCCTCAGGGGAAAGATGATAAAGATATACAATCAGACACTGGTACCATCGGAATTGAAACTTTTCTCTTGCTGCTGAAGATAGGGATGGAGCGCTTATGGGAGTGTCCCGAGTGCTCTGGTGTCATTTCTTAATTCAACATATCCGAGAAAGACAAATGTCAGATTCACAATCTCAGAACTGACAGACAATACCATCTTTTTCTTAGAATGTAAAAATGCATACCATATATACTGCTCAAGCTTGACAAAATACATCATGTCTTAAAGACACTACATCCCTATTTTTAAGTGACAAAACATGCAAACTGTTATAGTATCATTACATGTCTAGATCCAATGACTGGCTCAATATTGTACTTAATGGAAAAGTGCCATCAGAAAGAAAGTCTGAGTAAGTGCTGGCCAGATAACAGAAACATACAAGATAAACTCTAATGGAAGCTGAAATGCTGGTGACAAAAGAAACAGAGAATGCAACATGTGGTGGCTGTGGAATGGCATTTTTGATTAGGAAAGAATGAAAGGAAGGATTCAGAAAACTTCATAGTTAAAATTAAAATTAAAACTGTACCTTAACTCCTATAAGATCACCGTCTTGTATGAAGTATGGTGCTTGCCGGACATTTGTTTTGTGGGCACTTGATTTCTTCTTGCCTTTGTTTTTAGGCACTTTCTGTAAGCAAGTAATGTAATCAAGTGGATGGAAGCTATATTCAAACTCAAATCATTACAGCTGAGAATGAATCTCAGTGCTGTCAAATACCACGGAGGCATACTGTGTGGACCTACATTTAAACACATGAGATATTGAACAAGACATTCGGTTAAAACAACGTAATGTCAAAGAATTCCTCAACGCTGAAGGCGTCACTCCAACTTGCACCCATATAATTTTGAAGAATGTTTATGAAGATTCAACAGCAGATGTTAGCACTGTCCAAAGCTGGGTATATCGTTGTGACGAAGCTGAAGTGGGTCAATCCTCAATGGCTGCTGGAGCAAAGCAGACTAACCATCCATCAATCGCAGTTGCTCAAACAACATTCACCCAGTTGATAAAATCATTCATGATGGCCATCGAGTAACACTGGAGGAACTGTATTCCATACTATGCACTAGTAGAGGCACTGTCCAGACCATCAGTTCATCCACTGATGCCCAACGGTCAGCAAAAATGATATTATAATTCAGATCTGCTAGCCAGCATCTAGCCACTACGCCACCGTGGCTCCCTTATAAATACGTGAATGTAAACACACACACATACCTAGATACACATATATTTACACACACATACACTTTCACACATTCTTCTGAAGTTTGTGATAAGTTATCTTAGAATTACATTACATTTGGTTAAATAACAAACAAACACATGTTACTTACCTGTGGCTGATCACGGAGGACTATCCATTCACACACCTCAGGATTGTATTTAGCAATCAACACATCATGCAGTGGCAGAGACAGTCGTGTGGCTATCACTCTCTTCAGATCTCCTGCCCCTACCCCACTTGATGTATTCCACAGAAATTCCTGAGCTGGCATGTAAATGCGAGTCCCCCCAATTTTTCTCGCCAACAGCAGCAGTGTTTCGTGTACTCTGTGAATAAAATAAATAATTTCAAAGCTAGCCATCTGAGGTATCCTCTGTGGCAAACCTCCATTATGTCACAGTTTCATCATCATCATGTGCCCTGCCAGCTGGCGTAGGCGCTCATGCGTCTCCACAGATCCTGATCCCTGGTTGACTGGAAAAGCTCTCTTGATGATATCCCTCAATGCCATCGTTTTAGCCCATCCAGCATCATCTCTCTTGGTCTGCCTCTACCCCTTTTCCACTGATCTTTCCAGTTCTCACGATGTTCTCAAATGTCTCTCTTCTCATTATGTGGCCAAAGAACAGTTTTGTCTCTTTCTTATTGTTGTATATAGAGATCTACTTTCATTAGCCTCTTTCAAGCAATCTTTGTTAGTTACTCTGGCCGTCCAAGGTATTCGTAACATTTGCCTCAGAGACAACATTTCTGTTGCTTCTAAATTCTTCTTAATTTGTTCAGTGACATTCCAAGATTCGTTGCCATACAGCAGAACAGGGTCTATGTAACATTTTAGCACACTCTTTCTGACATTAAATGAGAGTGATTTATTGCATAAGATATTTTTCACTTTCTGAAATGCAGCTTTCGCTTGACCTATTCTGCTTTTAATCTCTGTCACACATTTTCCATCTGACGATATGATTGTTCCCAGATATAACAGTTAGAGGAGATATATGTGTTTTCAACAAATCAATGAGTTTTTTTTTTTTATTTGAACTTACAAATGGTTACTTGCATTAGAAAAAGATATCAACAATTTTTAACACGTCTTGAATTTTTCTGGGCAGACAGGAGGTTAAATTAAAACTACTCCAAAATTATGTCCATAATAATAATCAGTGTTTTAATCAATGTGGTTTTTCAGTTACCGAATAAATCGTATAAGGAAACAAATCTATGCCCTACTGTCTTTGAAGAAAATTAACTCACACACACTTAAATTTACACACATACAAAGAAGACATAGTTCACATTTTTCATTTTAAATTATAATGTTCCCCAATTATGCCCATAATCATGAATGCCCTTTTAATCAAAGGTTTTTCAGTAACAGTGATGACAAATGCACATATTTTTATTACTTTGTTCTAGCTGCTCTTCTACTCTCTGTTGTAAGTACAACCTTAAGTTTCTGTAAATTGTATAAACACAGGCAGACTTTTGACCAAGAACAGTAGTCTGTCACTGCGAGACTAATCCCGGGCTACCTACCATGATAGCTAAGTTCTACTAGTTTACTCCGCACATACATTATGCAAATCTCTTTCTCTTTCACCCAGTCACTCACACATAAAGACATGCATGCATGCATAAACACATTCACACACACAGAGAGAACCAAAAGAGTTCAAAAACAACTAAAATGCATTTTAAAGTTACAATCATGCATGCTTACCCCAAGTTTTCCTCAAAGTTTAGAACCTGTACTGCCAGGCTAACAGTTTCTTTGGTACTGATGTGTCTACAATGATGTGACAAACAAATAAAACAAACATTTCTCAGTTAACATGAGATTTCAAACTACAATCTGATGTGACAAACAAATAAAACAAACATTTCTCAGTTAACATGAGATTTCAAACTACAATCTGATGTGACAAACAAATAAAACAAACATTTCTCAGTTAACATGAGATTTCAAACTACAATCTGATGTGACAAACAAATAAAACAAACATTTCTCAGTTAACATGAGATTTCAAACTACAATCTGATTTGACAAACAAATAAAACAAACATTTCTCAGTTAACATGAGATTAAAACTACAATCTAGTAATAAGTGTTTATCAACCACTTCTACCACTCAATTATCTTGGAAATGTCTCTGAAGAAGTAAGACTAGAACAATAAATTATAAAGATAAATAATCAAATCAATAATTGCTGTAGATGTATAAGCATGAGGTAATGACCACATCCTTGTACTAATCCCTTCCTCCAATATAAACTTAAACTGTTACTGCCTGTATGTACAACCTTTTACGGCGGCATAGAAAGAGAGGAGTGGGGTGGAATTTCTAAGCCTGAGGATTTAGGGCCACATATTTAGTGCAGTACCAATGGACTTGTGTAGGTCTGGATTTTATTTGTGCCCCTAACAGGAAAAAGCCATCACCTTACCATGGATTCAAATTAGCCTCTCAAATGACAACCCACTGTTCTTAACCCCTCAGCAACTGATCCTTTTCCTCCAGTATAACCATCTCAAAACTGTTTTTATAAATATACAAATGAATTAAAACACACAGCAAGTGTGTGTGTGTGTGTTCTTCAGCTAAAAAAGGGGGCATAAATATAAATGCCTCACACATAAATATTTGAACAAACTTGAACATAAAAGAACTAAGAAATAAATATGAATGTCTCACACATAAACATTTCAACAAACTTGAAGAAATTAATTTTCAAAAACAAAGAGATTACAAGAGAGAGAATTGACTTCACAATACAGGTTATTATCCATCTGACTCAGTCTCTATCCACAGAGTGGCTGGCCCACTACTAAAAGAGTCTCACAAAGATACAGGTGTACAGCCAAGGACCGAATAAACTGCAGCCAGGAATATGAACTGTTCAAAAAAGCGAACCCACAACCTTCTAGCCGATTTGGAAGTAGATCACCTTGCATTGTTTCATCGACAGTGGTATAGAGAGCCAACAGTTTAGCACACAATGGTAAACTTCCAAATGTAAAATTGCCTAGTGATATCACAAACAGCCAAAATACGCTGATGTTGGTTATGCCATGTCATGTAAAGGATTTTGCAACTTAACCCTTTTATACCGGCGACCCAGAAAACTGAACCAAGGCTAAGAACCCTTATCTTTGGAACTTAAGGTGTTCATGATAAAATATATCTTTTTTTTTCAGACGCAAATAAAAATTATGAATTGATGAAATGGAGTAATCAGTAAAAATGAATGCACCACAGAATCAACTGAGTTGCACCTTCCTGAGGTTATTAAATTTAATACTGTGTCTCATTTTTACCCAGCCGCTTGAGACCACTGTAAATAATGGGAAATCATGACTACATAATTTCTCTTTAAAAAAAAAAAGGCCAGTCTCTCACACAAAACCACCCACAAATATTATTTTTAGTCACTATAGCTGTTGGCGCACCTAAGAAATATTTGCTCAAGTGCCAACAAAATCAATGCTCTTAGTTAGTGAAGTTCTTGTGAATGTCACTAAAGCCTCATTATAGCCACACTGTCGGCTCTGTGGCTAAGTCGATGCGAACGCTTCGCTTCGTAATGCCGGGATGCCAGGTTCGATCCCCGCTGCGGGCAATGCGCCTTGCGTTGGTTTCGACAGTGGTATCAAGAAAGCCGACTGTCCAGAAAGCAATGGCAAACTACTGGATGTAAATTGCCTAGAGAAACCACACAACAGCCAGGGGCTGTTAGGGTTGGTTCTGCAACATCCTGTAAAGGATATGCAACTAACTATAGCCACACTGGGACATGGCACATACTGAAAGTGTTGGTTTTAGTGTCTCTTGAGGCAAACAAGTAAACATCTTTCAGAGTGTAAGGCAAATAGTTTGATAACCTCACCAAGGAAACCCTTAAATTTGAGAACCTATCTTCAAATGTATTCATAATCACAGGCAACATTAGACGAGCAACAGATCTATAACAGTTTCATACTTGAGCACTTGAGAGTTATTCCTGATGACGGCTTTCAATCTGCTTCCCTCTATTAACCTCAACCTCATGAAATTGGAAGTGGGAATTCTTAAAGTCTGGATCTTTTCTGTACTCATCAAAGCTTGCTTTAGTTCCTCCACACTCATGGACTTGGGTATCACAAACTGCAGACACAGGTCAATAATTTATGTAACAATACTGTTATTTACTTGTCAGAGGGCAAATAAAATAAGTTTGTTCTTTATATGTCTTTTTTTTTTAATTCACATTATTACAACCCAAACAAGGACATCATACAATCTTCTGCAGGATTCTTTAATCAACCTATCAAACATAAATCATTAGATAATACAAACTGCCTCACAAATCATCAATAAAAAGTCATTTCAAACTACTGACTGAACACCACCATACAGTTATTTTATCTTCCAGGAAATGAAATCAGGAAATAAAGGTATCCTAGTTCTAATCCAACAGAGAACCAACACTTATTCTGAGCATTCATGTGTGCTCTCCCAGTTTGAAAAATAAATTAATAAGATCAGTACTGATCAAATACAATTAATATGAGGGATGCTGCCTAGTTCAATCTCAAGACCATGTTCATATTGTCAATTGAAGAGCACCTATCTTTTAGGGTAATGACTTTTCCAGTGGGAGACAGGAACACATTTCAAAGGTCTCGACTCTGCCATCACATTGTCTCAGACTTTCAAGAATGGGCCATCTATGCCATCACATTGTCTCAGACTTTCAAGAACAGGCCATCTATGGACAAGAGATACAGCATCAATGTCTTAAGAAAGAGTTAACTATGTGAGGCTTTCAAAAGTGTGGAAAATGATTCTTTACTGAATAGACTGCATACCCTGGGTGTACCAGTTGGAGCCGGGAGACAAGAAAACCATGCGGAAGCCACCTGTCTTTACATCAACTAAAATAGAATGGGAGTTGTTAGTCTAAAAACACTTACAGACATACTCAGGTGGACAACAAAGCACTTATGGTCATGTCTGATATGCAGTGAAGATGATCTTAAATTAAACAATGTTAATATTTCAGCGTGATACGCTCAGGTAGACTAAATTTTCTTCCTCCTCTTCTCTTCCTTGTACCTCAGCGAAGTATCTGGGAATTGGGGGGGGGGGGGGGGGGGGGGGTTGTAATGTTCGTTGATGAGCTCTGTCAATAGCACAAATAAGTAGGGCTGTACCAAATAGTGATTTTCACTATTCGGTTGAATACGAATAACGGGACCAACTATTCGGCCGAATACGAATAGTGTATAGTGTTAAAAAAAAAATATTCATAATATCAAATGTTCGCTGAACTTTTACTTCACATAAATTAGCACAGAATAGTCATCTTCTTCTTTAGCATTCTGAGCCCTTGAGGTTTACTGCTGCAGATATCACTAGTCTCCATTCATCTCTCTTGCTGGCCTTATCTTCACAATTTGTGACACCAGTTGTTTGCAGATCTGGCTGGACATTATCTCTCGAACTTCTTTTTTGTCTGCTTCGTGGTCTACGCCCATTCCTCTCTCAGGTGTATACAGTTTTACTTCTGTCATCTGACATACTTTCAATATGCCACAACCAATTTATCAATTTATCTGTTAGCTCTCATGATGTCTTTGATCAATGGTGATTTAAACAGATTAAGTGTTACGTTGTTGCTTCTCACTTTCCATTCCCCGCTGTTAACATCTTTTATGGGTCCAAAGATTTGTCGTAAGAGTGTATTCGAAAACCTGTAATAAGGCCTCATCTCTTTTATTTCCTCTTCAAGTTTCAGAGCCATATAAAACGACTGGTCTTTTCAACGTTTATATATTTTGATTTGGTGTTGCGAGACAGACACTTTGATGTTAGCAGATGTTGAAAGGCATAGTATACTTTATTTCTAGATTGTATTCTAGATTGTATTTCTTCTCTTAGCTAGTTGGAGCAGTTGAAGGTTGCACCCAAGTACAATCGTTTGATTTTCATATTATCAACTTGGATGTGGCCGGAGTTTATATTCTTTCCATGTCTAGTTAGTATTCGTACAGAATAATAAACATTTCAAAACTTTTGTTTTGCATCCTTCAGTCAGTCTGTGATAACTAATAACTAGGAAGGAAAGAATCCTAAGTATTAAAACAAGTAACTAAACTTGGAAATTGTCACTGACAGCTTAGTTAATGCAGGAAAGCTGCATTAGCTTTCAACAAAACCAATCATTCTATGTCGTCAGCATTAAGGCCTTGTATGCAGAAACGGGTGTAAGGTAACTACTATTCGTATTCCGCCGAATACCGAATAGTCAATAGGTCCACTATTCGGCCCCGAAGCGAATATTCGGTACAGCCCTACTAATAAGACTGATGTTCATTTCTGTAAGGCTGTTCTTTATGCCATAACTCTATATTTAATGAGGTCTTTCCCTCGCTCTATACCCATTTAAATGTTTCAGTGTGGCTTGCTGTGGTAGATAGTACCAGGGCATTCTTGTTAAATGTCCAAACCACTTCATTTATTGTTCTTTGATGACCTGTGAGACTCGCTTTATTCCTAGCATTTGTATGAGTGTGTGATTTCGTATTTTGTCTTTTCTTGAAACTTCTGCAGCTCTTCTAAGGCCTTTTATCTCTGCTGTCACAATCTGACGTTGATTGGAGGATGTAAGTGTCCACGTTTGGCACTGAGGGCACATACTGTTAGCCAAAAAAATAGTTCTGATAAGATTCACTTTAGTACTCCAGGGAATCTGTGTGTGTCAACAGGGAAGATAGCTGCCCCAGAACTTGATTAGCTTTGGTACATCTCGAGCTAATTTCTCTGTGCAATTTTCCATCGGATGTAAAAATTACTCCCAAATACTTTAATTCCTCTGTTTGTCTCCTCCTGTGTTTCCTCTGATGCATCATTAAACAGAAGGTTATTGACAGAAAATCGCTCTCTTCATGGAACATCTAAAAGTCCTGCTGTCTCTAGCCCTATGTGCTTTCAAAGTCAATGCATGCGCAACCTTTGTGGAGGTCGACCCCTGCATCGTTTCTGGGTCCCTCACTGCCCCCTTTGGCTACATTTCCTAAATAACTCAACTTTCTGGACAGGATGTTGTTTATCAGCCAACTCTCCCTGATGCAAGGGGTCGGTGTTTCTCTTGGAAGGTGCATACTTCACAAGATAAAACAAATCTCGTGGTGCTCTGTAACTCTTTCAGTATATGGAAGCCATAACTTAGCCCATTCTCTCCTAAAAAGTTTTTTTTTAATGTTTAAGTAATCCATCTTTAGGCCTCAATGAATTTACTACCTTTTAAAATTTACTACCTTACAAGAGGAGTTACCACTAGAGCAGTGTGGTTGTGTGTAACAATTGCTGTAGAACTTAACAGAACGTATGGTGAGTTGCTTAGTACTGAGTGAGTTCAGTTTAAATTTGTGTGTCCCAATGCCTCATTAGACCGAAGGGGATGAGATATTACCCACTAACAAACATGTTGTCAAAGGCGCCTAATTAGGAGTCTGCTGAAATGAGAAGTGTTGGGTTAAAAGGTGCTGATATTACAGCCTGGCTGTAAACCACAACACAAAGAGCCAACTGCCCTTTAAAGAATGAGGAGAACTAGAGGTAGAAAACTAAAACACAGTACCGGTGCTTCAAACAGCTGCTCCATGTCAGGGTACAGGCGGTCATTAAGTGGATTCAAATGGTTGCTGGACACACATTCGTTCAAGGACAATTTTGCTGCCAACTCCACTGGAGAAGCAAATCATTCAGGCATTTAATTTAATTAATTACATATGCATTATTCTGTTGTACTGGTAAAATAAATCCCTTTGTGTTTTCCAGGTCCCCCATTTTGAGAGGGAAAAGAATAGCCCCCCCCCCCCCCCCCCCCCTTTCCCAGTATGTCAGAAAAGTCGAATAATTAGGGGTGTGACCTTCTTACTGTTTCCATCTGCCATCTATATTCTTTGGTCTCATCATGAGAAGGGAAAAACTGGAGTATGTTATGACAATGACAAAGGCTGAGGGAAAGAGAGGCAGAGGGAGATGATGAACAAAAATGCTAGACACAAATTGATGAACTAACAACCAAATGAGTACCTGATAAACTAACCAAAAAAGTACTTGATGAAGTAACAACCAAATGAATACCCGATGAATTAACAATCAAATGAATATCTGATGAAGTAACAACTAAATGAGTACCTGATGAACTAACCAAATAAGTACTTGATAACTCACAACCAAATGAGTACCTGATAAACTAACAACCAAAGGAGTACCTGATGAACTAACCAAATAAGTACCTGATGACTAACAACCAAATAAGTACCTGATGACTAACAACCAAATAAGAAAGGCGCAATACAAGACTCTTGATATCTCTTACCCTATCTTGCTCAAGCCCAACTCACCCTCCCATGGTGGATGAAGCAATGATTGGGTGATCTGTTTGCAGTGGAATCCCAGTTGATAGCCTGATAACTAAAGTACTTAGTAGTACTTCCAGAACTGACAAACATGTAAGTACTTAGTGAACTAACAACCCAAAAAAAAGTACTTGACTGACAAACTCACACATTACTTTGTCCTCTTCGTCTTGCTGCATGGCAACATCCCCACCGCCTGTTACTTCCTTCAGTGCTGTAGGCGATGGCTGATGGTACGGAGCAAGCCACACACTCACACAAACCTGATCCTGCAGTGAATTCAATGTTTACTTATTAGTATCCCTTACCTTTGTAGTAATAAAATTATGCCAATACACAGTTTATAACAAAGCAAGCCATTTCTCCAGGATGACCAAAACAAAACAAAAAACAATTATACAAACATATGGGATTAAATGCAATGAGGTCGATCCGATCTTTGATTAAAAACTATATGTGATTAAACACTGTGCTTAAACAGTCATGTGCAGGACGTGATGATTCCTTGGGTGAGCCCAGGACCAGAGCATCATTACTCTGCATTAATGGAAGCCCCTGGATGGCGGGAAATACCATGATCTGCCCCTGCCTTCCCTTAAGGGCCAACCAGTTAGGGCACCCTGAATAGGTTCTCCAGGGGCAACACCTGTAGATTAATGAACAAAGAGGATCCCACAAAAATGAGGCAACATCAAGCCCCATTAAACCAACTGGGAAGGCTAACCTGGTCAACAAATGCCTGATGAAGTAGAATGTGTCAGCTGAAAGGTGCAAATATCACAGTAGTGCTGTAAGCAGGCACAACACAATCACGTCACTCAGACAAATGAAAAGAGGAAGAAAAGAAAAACTGTGCAATGAGGTTCATTAATGATTTTTTTTTAAAACATAGAATTAAATGCTGTGCAATGACGCTGATCATCTTTTATAAAAACCATATGGAATTAAACAATGTGCAAAAAAGTGATCTCTTTTATAAAAACCTAATGGGATCAAATGGTTTGCAAAGAAGCTTATACTCTCATTTATAAACACTTTTAAACAAAGAAAACACAACATACTGCCTTCTACCTTCAAGCTGATGAAGTAAAAAGATTAACAACTCTTCACTGGATACCCATTTGAGAAAAAAATTGTGTTGCTAGGTTTGCATTTTACATTTCTATGTCCAACTTGTTATCAGATCAAATAAAGAGCAATATTATTTTTGTTTCTATACATAACCTTGAAACACAAAATAAAACATTGTAATTAAATATGATGTGAAAATAGCAGCGTGAATCAATCTGCAAATCGAGTGTTTATGATTGTTCAGATCTGAACATCTGTCATTATTTAACACGGTCTAAATCTGCTTTTGACAAGGATAAAGCTAACTTTCATCTATAAAAATGACCAAAATGTTAGTTTTTTTCTAAAGTAGCCTACAGATAATAAGAATGCAAAGACAGAAGTATTAATTTATGATGACAATAATAATTTTAAAAAATTAAAAAACAAGTCTGCTTTCAAAGTTCCAAAGTGCAAAGGCGGCACAATATATCTAGGGTAGAAAAAGCACTGAAGACTTTTTTAACAAAAATAACACACACATGCTAAACGAGGCATGCACAAACAACAGTTTTTGACCAAATTAATTGTTATTAAGTATCTGTAGGTGAAAAAGTACATCCTAACTTCTTTTTTTTTTTTTTTTTTTTGCTGAAAGAGCAGTACAAATTAATTCAGCCTTTCATATGATCAAAACTCATGATAGTTCTGATTCAGGAACAGCACACAATGACAGAATATGCTTACCTTCTTCAAGAAAGAGCCTTGCTGCAAGACAAGTGTATCTCCATCGTTGATCAATAGGTCCAGGAGTGTGGCTGTGCTGTCTTCCAGAGGATCAGCAGGGTCTCCAAATGCATCTGTTTTGCTGAGATACCAGTGGGTTCCTGTTTGAGAACACAAAATTGCATAAATTATTAAACTTGGTGGTAGGAATCAATACTTGTAGAAGACGGGGGGAGGGGGTATTAAGCCTGTCACCATCAGCGCTAACAAAACTGAGTCATAAACCTGTAGGAATTTCAAAAAAATTTTTTTTTTAAACAAAACAACTATTTTCACAGGTCACTAATACATTTTCTGTCAAATTTCATTTTCTTCATTTAAAAAAAAAATGATTTTTGAAACATATACAGGTATATAAAGGCATCGGCGCCTGTGGCTTAGGCGTTGCGAACGCCCTTTGTAATGTCGGGGTGCCAGGTTCGATCCCTGCTGCGGATGGTTTGTCTTGCGATGGTTTTAACTGTGGTACCGAGAGCCGACTGTCCAGAAAGCAATGACAAACTACTGGACGCAAATTCGCCTTGAAAAACCACAACAGCCAGAAAGTGCTAGGGTTGGTTCTGCAATGTCCTGTAAAGGATACGCAAATAATTTAATTTAATATAAAGGCAGTACCTTCAACCACACATGTCTATGTAGACTTATAAAAATTTTCTGACCGGATACAATCTCAAACACTAAACTACTTCAAGTCAAAAAACAAGAAACTCTAGACAGAATGATAACCATGAGAAGGTGGAAATGGCTTGTCCATGTTATGAGAATGAATTGTGATATATCTGCCAAAATAGCTCTCACATAGACACCAGAGGGAAAGAGAAAGAAGGGGTGCCCAAAAACAACATGGAGGCGAACAGTAGAGAGTGACCTGAATGCGGCATTTCTGACATGAAAAACTGCACTGAAGATTGCACAGGACAGGAAAGCATGGAAAGTCCTCTCTGAAGACTCATGTGCCACTAGGCATAAAGAGAATTGATCATGATATAAAGGCAGTAATTAAAAAACACAAACAGAGTGTGACACAATGTGGATTTTAAAAAATATGTATTAAGTGATTCATGCTGTAACCCCATGACCTCCATCACTGAGGCTTTGGAATAGTGTGACTTTATAAAGCCATCTGATTCACAAGAACCCCCCCCCCCCCCCCCCACACTATTTTTAGTAAATATATTCATATCCTGACCTCCTAAATGTTGCACAAGGGTGAACGCAACCAATAGCACTGACTAAATGTTTTGCAAACGCACCACTGCAGAAAAGTCGGATACATGATATTTGTGGGTGACTTGACCTAACCAGAAGTGTCAGTTTTAAGGCTTTTCAGGGTAACAGGATTAGAAGGGAACGTTAAAATGCTTACAGTTATACCAGGGTGAGAGACAAACAGAACACCCTATGGAACACTACTTCATCTAAGCTTACAAAGACATTTGGACAGAGGCACGCTAAGTTGAGAATTTAAAAATATCTATAATGATTTCTCTTTTAACATAACTAGAATTAGAAACAGGTGACATTGAAGCAACCATTGTTTTTCTTCTTCTCAACAGAGCATATGCCCTGAACCAGCTTACATGAAACCATCTGTGAACTTCTTCATGACCTGTCAGATTTTGCAGTTACAGTGTATGGGATGGGGTAGTCTATCTCAAGCTAACCTTCCTTAGCCTTCCCTTACAGCATGCATTTAACCTGCCAAATTAACTGCATTTATACCCTCCGTCAAGAAACAGTTTTTGTTGACCTAGCCATGTGGCTCAACATCATGTCACAACGACATTCATCATCATCATCAGGTGCCTTGCCGACTGGCGTGGGCGATCATGCCTCTCCATAATCCGCGATCTCCTGCAGCATGTATCAGTTCGTGTGCCGACACACCTCCATGCCATGCAACAAGACTGTCAAGCATCTTCTCTCGTTGTCTTCCTCTATCCCTCTTTCCACAGATCTTTCCAGTGGTCACAACATGTTCTATTTTCCCTCTTCTCATAACATGGCCGAAAAATGATGACTGTCTCCTTCTGATGTCAGTGATAAGTTGTCTTCGGTCTCCCGCCTCTTTTAAAACCTCTTGGTTGCTCTTTTTGGCTGTCCAAGGTATTCTAAGCATTCTTCTGTAAAACCACATCTCTGAGGCCTCCAAAAAATTGTTTGGCCTGCCTACCGATTGTCCAGGATTCACATCCATATGTTAAAACTGGATGTATGTAGCAAGCAAGAATTCTTTTTCTAACTCTCAATGACAATGATATATTGCACAAGATGTTTTTCATTTTATAAAATGCAGTTTTTTTGCCTGTCCAATTCTGTTTCTTATTTCAGTTATGCATCTTCCATCTGATGTTATCCATGTGCCCAGGTACTTAAATTTCTGTACTTATCTTAAAATAACACCATTGACTTTTATTACACATTTAGGAATAATTTGTTTTCTTTGATACCACCATTACTTCTGTCTTCCCATTATTCAAACTGAGGCCCATTCTTCCACTTTCTAACACCACAATGTCTATCATTTCCTGTAATTCTTTCTGACTTGTTGCTATCAAGAATGTGTCATCAGCATAACGTAAATTGTTTATATTGTGCCCACCAACCACGATTCCGGGCATATCAATTAAAGATCTCATAATATATTCACTGTATATTGAAAACAAATCAGGTGAAAGTACACATCCTTGTCGTACGCCCCTCTTTATGCTTTGAAATGTACCTAAACAGTTGTTAATTCTTAAAGCTGCTGTTTGCTGCCAATACATATTCTTTATTATTCTTAGATCTTTCCCATCAATGTTTAATTTTTCTAACAGTTTGATTACTTCTTCATGCTTCACACAGTCAAATGCTTTTGTATAGTCTATGAAGCATAAGTACAAATCAGTCTTTACTTCTATAGCTCTTTCTGACAATGTCCTTAGGATGTATATGGCATTGTTTGTACCTTTTCCTTCTACAAATCTACATTGTTCATCGCTGATTTCTGGTTTAATTTTGTTTCTTATTCTTCTCATAATTATTCTCAGTAAAATCTTAGTCATGTGACTCATAAGACTTATTGTGCGATGGTCTTCACATTTTAAAGTGCCTGGTTTCTTCGGCAGAGCTATAAACATGGATTTTAAAAGGTCATTTGGAATATACCCACTGTTATAAATATCATTTAAAAGTTTAGTTATTATTTCAATTCCAAAATTTCCCAGTGCTTCGATTTCTTCCAGTGAGATGTTGTCTGGCCCGGGTGCTTTTCCTTTCTTCATATGATGTATTGCATCCTCAACTTCTGCAGTCATTATTGGTGGACCATCATTGTTGTTCTGCAGTTCTACGTCTGGTCTATTATCATCATACAATTTCCCTATATACTCTGTCCATCTGTTAATTATATTACTATGTCCCATTAATAAGTCACCATCCTTTGATATCAAACATCCAGTGCTGCTACGTGTCATCTTTCCTGTTAACATATTTATCTGTTGGTACATGGAATGTGAGTCTTTCCCGTGATTTTCCCCAATCTCTGTACACATTTGATTCAGCCAGGCTTCTTTAGCCACTTTGCAATTTGTTCACTATTTCTTTTTTGTATTCTAGAGTATTCTTCTTTATCATTCTTTTTCTTCCTTCTTTCATCCATCAACTGCAGAATTTCGGTTGACATCCATTTCTTTTTTGCAACTGTATGGGTTGGTGGGATTGTCTCTTTTGATGTCTGCTGAATTGACTCACGCAACATATCCCACTGTTCATCAATTGTTTTGTATAATTTCCATTGCATTATACCGTTTTTTACAGTGACGTTGTACTGTTCCTTAATTTCTTTATCCGTTCTAAGAATTCCTAAATTTAACTTGATGTTTCTGTGGTGTTTTTTCTAATGTTCTTTTAGTTTTATTCTAATTTTTCCTACAACTGGAACATGGTCTGAAGCAGTCTGCCCCTGGTCTAGTTTTAGCTCCAAATCTTCTTGAAATCAAAATATAATCAATATGATTGCGGACATTATCACCAGGACTTTTCCAAGTCCACAATCTTCGAGGATGGTGTTTAAAACCAGGTGTTACCTATTATCATGCTGCGCGACTCAGCCCATGCTATTAATCTGTCACCTCTCACATTCTTTTCTCCTAGTCCATATCCACCCGTTATTTCGTACACTTTTTCACTTCCTACTTTTGCGTTGAAATCTCCAAGTACCATTGTTACTTCACAATTTTTGCATTGATCAACAGCCATGTCTAACTCATCATAAAATGCGTCAATGTCTTCCTCTGAACTATCTGCTGTTGGGGCATAAATCTGTACTAAGTTGATGTCAAACGGTCTGCCGCGAAGTTTTACTAATAGTACTCTATCTGATATTGTCCAAAATACAACGACATTACAGTGACTAAAGATGGCTTTTCTTCATCTGAAAAAATAATTTGTATGCTGTTTTACTAAATATGATACCCTGCCTACACTATGCAATTGCATGGAGGTTATGGCCAAACAGTCTAGCCACTCCGGTGACAGTCCTATTTCTATCTATAAATCCTTAAGAACCGCCTTATTCATCTCAAGGGCACCTATTTAACTAGAAGACATAACATTTGACACAGTTTTATGTAACATTTTTGAGTTAATGCCCTTGTCACCAGTGACTTTTTCTGGCCAGTATTTATTTCCAATGGCCACACATATATTCCCTGGCCAGACAGAAATGTGATTTCTATTGGAGATACATCCGTAAAGTGATGTTGTGTATTCCTGTTTTTATTTGTGGTATTATAGATTTATGTATTTGATGATGAAGGCTCTCTAGCCACAACTTTCGCCTGTCAATTGCCGTTGTGACATTGTTTTCATTTGGTCTGATATCTTTTCATGAGACAAAGATCTTACACAGGCATAAGGCAGCTGTCCAAAGTTGTAATGCCAACCCCTTACAGGGCAAAAAGTACAATACTTTTCTTCTTCTGCGTTCGACATCAGTCATGCTAAACATTGAGTCCCGTCTGGGTCAAAAATAGGAATGTGCATTTAAGGTCGCCACCGGTCCCCCATAGCTTCTCTCGAAATGTGGATCCCCTGGGCCAGATCCACAGTCTTTGCTGGGAGAGGTAAGGGCAGTACTGCAGTATGTGCTCAGAAGTCTGTCTTTCTGCTCCACAATCAAAGGCAGCAGATTCTTTTATGCCTATCCTGTACAGGTGTGCTCGAAGACCACAGTGTCCAGTCCGAAGTCTAAAAATTGATGTTTGTTCTTTCCTGTTGAGTTTGTTTATGCAGTCACTGTCTGGTCTGTAATCTCCATTCTGCCTTCTTAATAATACTCTTATTTCTTCAAATTATAACATCAAGAAATAGCAAATGAAAGAGGGCTCATAAAGAAAACGTAGACAATCGACCAAAGACTTACCTTCACAATTCATCAGCTTACACGAAGTCTGCAGCATCTCTGACACAGTCTGTTGTCTGTCGACCAAAAATTCCTGAACAGACAACAACTTTCCACCGACGACTTTGTTGACACGAACAGTCATCTATTTGGAGACACATGGCATATACAAATTTAGCTCTACATTACAAGTTCATATTCAGTTTTATTTAACGGTAGAAAACACTTCACTCATTCAGTATGTCATAACTTTTAAAAGGTGTTTTGTTCTATCAGTGCATACCTAATGATCATCTTGTAGTAGGTACACCTTCTCAGCTTACGACTACAACAATTAAATAAATAAAAACAGTACATACATATTTGTTATATTATGTATATTAATTATACCAACACAGATTGAATTTGTGTGTTTTATACACAATTTGTATAACGCGTTTGGAAAAAAATAGTGATAAAGAATATAAATTCGACTTACGACCTGTTAAAACAGAACTTGGTCGTAAACTGAGGAAACCCTGTACTTTACAAAAGATAGCTCCCGTCACAGCCTGCCTAAAAGAAACTGAGTCACCCACAAGCTTTCCAGCCTCACACACTTTCCTGCCCAGATTGTCTCCTATGTTTCCAGGTTTAGTATTGTATATATGCTACGACCTCGTTCCCTCTGATAGAGGTAAAGGACAGTTAATGGAATGCTGCTATAAGGATGAGCGAGAAGTGCAAACAAATTTTTTCACTTTCTACAAAATCGTTGCTGTCAATAAACTGGAGATCGGTTGCAATGTATGCACTGCCAGCTATGGGAATATTACATAATAAAGGCCCAAATCTTCTCCAGTGGCAGATGTGTTGAGCTTTTACAAATACCAGGTCATGAAATAGTGAGGTGCAGAGACCTTCCCCTCATTTATCACTTTCTTTCTCAGAAATTTTAAAGCATTCAGAGAAGAATTTGGATTATGGATTACATTTCAAGAGGCTGTGTCAACTTAATTTGGTGATTTAAAAAAATGCCTAAGCACTAACATACATTTGTCCCATTCAAAGTGGTGAACGATAATATTACATGCGTTTTTATTCAAGAAATTAGACAAATCATTTCAATCATATAGGTCAGTAAATTGGACGTACACGCAAAACTTAATTTTATCAGGACTGGGAAACAATTATTATCTACTACATCAAACAGCATTTGGATGTAAACATAAGTTTGTACCCACAACCATTTTCTTACTTCAGAATCCTGAGGTGGTTTCCCATTCTCCAAAACTAGAAACACGCCATTTGAAAGCCCAGCGTCAGCTAAAGTCAAACCTTCTCGTACTGAAACAGATACAAATTAAGAAACAATTAATTAATTAATACAGAGTTCATAACCAAATTCACCAACATTTTTAAGGTATTCTTGATTTTTTTTTTTTTTTTACAAGGCTGCATCAGGCATAATGGTGCCTGCTTGGTGTTTTCACAACTTTATAAGACTTGGTGGCACAGCAGAGCCAGTAGAAGGACTGATTACTATTAGCATTAGTAAAACTGAAGGAAAAAATCTAGCTGAAACAGCAGAAAATGCTGCTAAAGCACATGATCTACAAACCCTACACAAAATGACCCAGCAAATTTGCAGAAGCAGAAACAATTATCACAGCATACCCATCAGAGATAACCGAGGCAGACTGCTCACCACAGAACAAAAACAAGACATGCAGTGGACTAAACACTTCTCCGACCTCTTGAACAGACCTGATCCTGAAAATCCCCCAGATATTCAACCAGCCTCTCAGGACATTGACATTATTACTGAACCACCAAGCAAACAAGAAATCCTTAAAGCTATCCACACTTTAAAGAACAACAAAGCACCAGGCAAAGACGAACTGCCAGCAGAACCTCTCAGAGGTCTAGAACCATTGTTCAAGGATATTTGGGGAAAAGAAGTGTTGCCTGATGACTGGACCGAAGGAACAATAGTCCAAATCCCCCAAAAAGGAGACTTAACAGACTGCAATAATTGGAGGGGAATTACTCTACTCTCAGTACCAAGCAAAAAATTTTGTAAAATCATCATAATGAGGCTTGAAAAAGGAGTAGATAAATGCCTACGAGTAGAACAAGCAGGATTCAGAAAGGGCAGAGGAACAACTGAACACATCTTCGCCATACGCAACATCTTAGAACAATGCAATGAATGGCAGAGAAGTATATATATTAATTTTGTGGACTTTGAGAAAGCTTTTGACAGCGTACATAGAGACAGTCTATGGAAAATTTTACAACATTATGGAATTCCAGAAAAAATAGTCAACATAATTGCTCTCTTCTATAAAGACTTTTCCTGCAGTATAAAAAATTACAATACATCTTTTCCAGTAAATACAGGTGTAAGACAGGGATGTGTTATGTCATCTCTCCTCTTCAACCTTGTGATTGATTGGATACTAAAGAACACAGTAGACAGAATACTGAGAGGCATACGATGGACTCCATTCACCATGCTTGAGGACCTTGATTTTGCAGATGATATAGCACTCCTATCACATAAACATATACAAATACAAGAAAAAAGTAACAGACTACACAGAACAGCAGAAATGGTGGGACTGAGAATAAATACAAAGAAAACTAAGATCATGACAAGCAGTGCAAACCAACAACCAGTGACCATAAATAACCAAACATTCCACATATCTTGGCAGTGTGGTGTCCCTGCCGGGAGGGACCAAAGAGGACATACAGTCACGTCTGAGCAAAGCTAGAGCTGCTTTAGGAAGGATGAGGCAAATCTGGAAATCCAACAATTACTGCAGAGGAACAAAACTCCGACTCTACAAGAGCATCATTTTGCCAGTTCTTCTTTATGGAGCGGAATGCTGGAGAATGACCAAAAAGGATGCACACAAGCTGTCTACCTTCCACCACACATGTCTACGTAGAATTATCAAAATTTTCTAGCCAGATACAATCTCACTAAACTACTTCAAGTCACAAACCAAGAAACATGATAATATGATAACCAAGATAAGATGGAAATGGCTTGGCCACGCTATGAGAATGAATCCTTATATACCTGCCAAAACAGCTCTCATATGGACACCAGAGGGAAAGAGAAAACAGGTGCGCCCAAAAACAACATGGAGAAGAACGATGGAAAGTGACCTGAGTGCGGCATCTTTGACATGGAAAACTGCACTGAAGATTGCACAGGACAAGAAAGCATGGAAAGTCCTCTCTGAAGCCTCATGTGCCACTGGGCACAACGAGAACTGATGATGATGATGAATGCATGTAGTCTGAATGCAAGGTAGTTTCCAAGTAAAATAAAATTCCACTTCGCTTTACATAGCGTAAAAAACAAAACAATTCAAATTCACAAATCAGTAAAAAAATGGCAAAAAATGTGTTTTTAAAATTACGCCACGTACATAAGTGTTTGTGTGTGTGATGGGTGTTCCGCATTAGGTGCCACATGACCTTGATAAATCACTTGAAGATGGATGGGAAGGGAGGGAGGGAAGGAGGGCAAGAAAAGGGGGGGGGGGGTGAAGATAGCTCACTCTGCACCATCATACTTCATAAAGCAAACAATGAGACCGTGAACTGCATATCATTTGTTCACTCACAGGTTACCGGAAATTACTCTACATATTCAGAATGAGGGTAGCCGATGAAGTAACCAGCTATCAAAAGCATTTGTTTTTCCCCATACATGACTTGTATTCTAGCTTGTGCGTCTCCTCCAATCTATTCTATCTTAGAGAATAATGTTGTATAGAAATTCCTATACAAAGCCATAGTCTTTAGACAGCCTGCTAGAAGCTGTAAAAATAGGTTGCTAGAAACACCCCACTTATCCTCCAACTAGAAGTCACAAGAAAGCATTTCAGAAGTCCTTAAAATGTTTCCTGCCCTCCCTTTCAAAACAGACATATTGGTATTTTTCTAAAAGAAATCTAGATGAAAATCTTATCGGAACCTGTTGGAAAGCCCTTGAGGAGACCCAACAGTAGCCTTTAGAAAGAAAACAAAGCAACAATAGCAAAGAATTGACAGCACAGCCCTCTGGAGAATTCCATAAGTGCTTCGTCACCATACTCAGCAGCCAACTAAGTGTTTTAAAGCTGCTGGTACCAACAGCAGCTTGTATACTAGTTTTAAAAAATCAGTAGTCATTAGAGAGCATACAGACAGCCCTATCAGTACATTTTTTTTTAAAGTATTTACCTGTTTGCAGCCTAGCTTATTATTATAATATGCAAAAATACAAATACACACTCTTAACTTGACAAACATCACAACATGGTTATCACACCACTAGTTACAGCAAAACACCCAAACATAACCCAGTCAAACATTCAGCAAGTAAGCTGTTACAGTCATAATAAAACATATTTATTATATCAGGTCGCAAGGTTGTATACTCACATGGAGGGTACAGCCCCATAGTCTGATGGTTCTGCCGCAGTCGTGTGGTATCAAATAGAATACTATCCACTTGAAGTAAATTTAGGGCTTGTAACTTCAACTCCATCAATGTCTGAAATAGTGACACACTGCATTGACAATTTTCAGCAGCAACTGCAAGAGACAGTTTTACATACAAACAGGATGCAACAAAGATAAACTTATGCATTACTGGGAGAAGAGAAAGTTTATTTATCATTTTATCTCTCAATGGTGCATAGGATCTCAATCAACCCACCCTAAGATCTCTGTAAACTTGTTGTGACTGGTAGGATTTTACAGCTAAAGTTTTCTACTGGATTAGGTAGTCAATCTCAAGCCAATCTTTCTTAATTACCTTTTATGACTTGCACTATAGGTTACAGTCTCACTACTCTTTGCTTACCTTCTAGGCCCCAGCAACACACTGATGGAAGAGGGAGTGTCTAAAATATTAGTTTTATCTGTCCCAGAATATTTCACTACAGATATTCATAATATAGATATTCATAAGAGGAATAATCTTTAGTTAAAAGCTTCATGCATTAAAATACTTTTTCTTTACTTTAACTTACACTTAAATTACATACACAATGTAAATGGTAAATGGGGAACCAGATTTATTTACCATGTTTTGACAAAATATAAACAGTTAAAGGACACACTACAGGATGGTTAGGTTTCATGAAGAAGATCTAATAACATATGCCATATTGCTTGGGAAAGTTAGGGTTTAAAAACATTTACCAAAAAAAAAAAAAAAAAAGAGGCAGGGCCAGTTTTACTGTTCAGAACTTAAACAGATTTCTAAAAAAATGAAGAAATGTCACCAACAGAAAAAAAAAATCATAACCTTACTGAGGGTCTGAACCTGGGAGAACCCACTGTTCCTTAACCCACTGACTACCAGCATCGCACGTAATGCGACGAGGCGACGTTTACTTCCTTCTGCCAACGTCACACCCTTTGCGATTTTAGCTTTAGACGCTCGCCGTCATGTTAAAATCGTGATTTTTATGATGGATTTAGTTGAAACCTCTAGCTTATTCATTTCTGTATGGTTAATTAATGGAAATAACTTCGTAGTGCTTGAAGTAAATATTTGACAAATTTTTTAGTTAGCTCCCATGACGGTGAGACATTGACGAAAAATTCATCATGGCGTCAAATTATCAGAACCATCGTGATGGCCATATCTCTCCTAATTTTTCTAATGATGCATTCGATTTTCTTGATTTTGCTTCAAAAAGTGAATTTGGAGACACTTCTCAACAGTTTGATGGCTATGACTATAATAAATTTAACGAAGTGCCATTCAAAACATTGTAGACTGTAAAACGACAGTAAGAAGCTTCGAAGTCAAGTCTGACAAAAACAGTGTTGTCGGCTGCAAGTACTAGTCCTGCAGTTCATGATGCTGATAGTTCTTGTAAGAGTATTCAGTCAAAGCCCACAGATTATAAAGATTATGTGCATGAGTCTGCACATGACGAAGATATCATTGCCGCTTTTGATTCAGAATCATCATCATCTGACGAGTCCGGGGAAGGTGTGACACCCCCCCCCCACGGTTGATGACTGGCATTGTGATTTAGAAGGCTTTCCTGGAGTACCCCCATTTACTGGCACTTTTGGTTTATTTCTGCCAGCAGGAACAAATGAACCACTGAATATTTTCTTCAGTAAAGAAATTCTGGCTGTGTTTGCTACAGAAACAAACCGTTATGCTGAGGCAAAGATTGGTGCGAAACCAGACACCTGTTTTCCCAAGAACTAGAAACACACAACCCCAAATGAAGTAACATGGTTTCTTGTACTGTTGCGTCACATGTGTTGTGAAAAAGCCGTCTATTTCAGACTACCGGAGTCTATATCCATCTATCCACTCATCATTTGCTGCCACCATCAAGTCACGGGGGCGTTTTCTATATATTGCTGTCAGATAACAGATTTGTCTGTTGCCTTTTCAGCACCATATCTACAGCCACATGATGATGATATAAAACAGTAAATCTACATATGTCTTGATATTTGTTATCTATTTAATTTGGTGCAAACAATATCAGATATGATAAGTGATATTGAACAGTTGTGAAGCTGTGACATTTTTTGGGAGTCTGAATTATTGTCAGATAAAGGATTTTTCAGTTGCCTTTTTTGCAACAATCTACAACCACATGATGATGATGATTATGGCAGACAAAGTAAACCCCATTTTTTGTCTTCACATTGTTCTCGCTTCAATTTTGTGCAAAAATACAAAATGTAATACATGTTTGTTGAATATTTTTGAAAAAAAAATCATCACTATCAGTCTTTATTGTTGTCAGATAAAAGATTTTCAGTTGCCTTTTTTGCAACAATCTACAGCCACATGATGATGATGACTATGTCAGAGTAAACCTTATTTTTATTTTCTTTAAATGGGTTCTTGGTTTAATTTTGTGCAAAAAATACAAAATATTATACATTTTTGTTAAATATTTTTTGAAAATAAGACATTTTTATTAGTCTTTATTGTTGTCAGATAAAAGATTTTTCGGTTGCCTCTTTTGCACTAATCTACAGCCACATGATGATGATGCAAAACAAAATAAACAACTTTTTTTTTTCTTGAAATTTGTTCTTCATTCAGTTTGGTGCAAAAATACAAAATATTGTGAGATTATATCAAATAGTTGTGAAGCTATGGCATTTTTAGTACACACTAAAATACGTGGTATCTGGGGAAATGCAAGGGTTAATGTGCTTGGTAGTCAGTGGGTTAATCATTCATTTGGCCAGCTACTGCTCACTGTGAAAGAACCTAAATTAAAAACATTCAAAGAAGTGCCTGACATGAAAGTAAAGATTCTAAATAGAAACTGAGGGTGAGTGGGGTTTTTTTTTTTTTTTTTTTTTTCAATGTTAAGACCTGGCTGGTAAGGTGCACATAATTTGAGTTTGGCATGCAAATCTGTTTTGCATATCTGACTTATTTGTATGCAAACTGTTGGTTCCTTGCCTTCCCGCAGAGGCACTTCGACTTTGAAATAAACCCCTAATTAGTCGACTCGTACTTGGGTCTATTCCACCCCCCCCCCCTCAAATACAATGGAGCCCTGGTACCCACACAGAGACAGCTATAATCTATATTCATATTGTTAATTGGATTTAAAATGCTAAAATCTTCAATTAATATTTATATATATACACACACACACACACACACACATATATATTTACACACAGACTTATATTTACACACACATATACTATTAAAACAATTTACGTACTGTGGATGCTGTGGTTCTCATTGGAATACTTTTGCAAGTATGTGGATTGTCATTCTGTGAAAACAGAGAGATTAATTATACTAAAATCTGATCCTGTTTCATGCCATGATGAATAATGTAATGGGTACAGTACTAGCCCCATCATTTTATAACAAGTGGCTGATGTACAAACACTATAAAATATCTAGACAAAACAACTATGAAAATAACATATCAGTTCATTAATTTTAACAATTAAATAAACAGTGGGATGGCCACTGGGGTAGCCTGACGTCTTTTGGATCTTTTCATAAAATGTAAAAAACAATAATATAATAACCCTTCCACCACAAAAGAATCTTTAAATTAAAAAACATGAAAAAAACAATATAAGAGAGAAAGCCAAAGAATTTTGGAATCCATGGCAGTTTTAAAAATATCAAGGGGTGTCAAACCCTAGACCACCAAGCAGACAGGCAGGAATGATGTCCTCTGCTTCTATGATGACATCACGCCACTAAAAACAAAGTAAAAAATTGTTTCGGGTCACCGAATGTCTGAATTGGGAAAGGTCTCCCCCCGCCCCCCAAAAAAAGGAAAGTAATTACTAAACACAAACAGAGCCAAGAGTTGATTTTGTTCTATTTAACCATCTAAAAGTGGTTCTGATCACTTTTCCATCAAAAAGCGATGTGATGCAACTGTGAAATTATATGACGTCGCAATTGTATCACAATGTTTAGAAACCTATTATTTTTTAACCCCAAATAATATCTGAAGAGAAATTCTGTTCGGCAAATATAATCATTCCCACCATGTCTACATATTATGTAGTTGCAACCAGCTACAAAGTTAATATACAGGTGTTGTGACAACTGTCTAAAAATACCATGCCATTTTTTTTTAATTTCAACAGACAAGCATAGACCTAAACTCGTATGGGCAACAGGGTAAAGTAATCTATAATTCACAGGAAATGAAGAAGTCAACATTATAAAGTATTTGGGATTGAAAGATTCAAAATAAAATATAACTACAGAGAAGCAATAAAAAACCTAATCTGTGAAATAAAAATAAAATGCACAATATTACAGTTAATAATAAGAACACAAACTTTAAAAAAAAAAATTTAATTAAAAAAGAAGCATCTTACACCAGCTAGCCTGTTCAGCAATGTTATAGACCATTTTGGATCACCTGAAGCTTCAACACCAGATGTCCCATTTATTGGACCCTCTAGATGTGGGCTGGAATTACTGAAATGATAGATGTTTGCAGCATAACAATTGTATTCTGCCAGACAAGTAAATTAGCTTTTTAAGAATTAAGCTAAAAGAATGGACTCTAAACCCACTATTATGACCATAGTAAATGTTAATACTTTTTTTTTTTCCCTTTCCTTTTCTTCTGCACTTGCTCTTTTAAAAAAATGCAGTAGGTACACTGTGTTGTGGTTTACTTCACGTTTTTTAAAATATACATCCGCTGACCACCAAAACAGGGAAAATTGTTTTGCAGCTCACCTGACAGCTAACCAAACACCGATTCATGTTGCTGGCACGTTAAGTGCCAGAATCACTGCCACAAGAGTTATTGTCCTTATTCCCAGCCCAGATTAGACTAATGGTTACGGAACTGTCAGCTACCCCAATATAACTTTTATACAGCTGAATAGGGATTTGTACCTGTTTGATTCACATTCTTGAGGTGTGTTAATCCCACAGACTGCAATCCTGGAAGAGATACTACTACCTTATGCTGTTACATGATTTAGCAGAAATGTGTAGCGGCCAACCTGGATTTTTCCACGGCTCATCAGTGGCAAAACTCTTAATTAGTCACCTTTTTGTTATGATGCAGGGGATCTACTAACCCCCTCCCCCTCTTTCTTCCCCCTTTTCTGCCTTTCCAAATGCAGCCCTGGAACCCATATGGGGAGTGAATGTGAATTAGAAGAGACATGTGATCCTTACATGTATACAGTCACATCCATGTGGAGTCTCAGAGTTGTTAGAGGTCAGTAAAAATGTGAAGGCCCCGTTTCTTATACCTGAGATATGCTGGGCTGATGAGAATCACATACTTTTTTAGACCAACTGACACTCGATGGCTAATATAGTCCACATCTGCCAAACGACTTTACTTCCCAGGACATTCTGATACCCACAGTTAGCTCCATTTGTAATATCCACCTCAACAGGCAATTGAAATGTCATGGGCATGTAGTTACATTTTGTGAAGAATAATTTGCCAACTTAAGATACTAGGCAGTGTTATATCACTATCAAAAAAAAAGGTCTTCAAAGTAAAGTGCTTACATTGCTTACAATGTTATTATAAATATGTTCATGAAAACTGTATGTGCTAGACAAACCTCAGTAAAGACAAAATATCATAAACAATAAAAACAAACACCAACAGACATATTTTTACTAATGATAAGAATGAGCTTATTATTTTAACTATTAAATATATCCAACTATTAAATATTGGCGCTAGACTGGACTCATCATAAGAACAAAGAGGCACTAAAACGGGAAATAAAAAGTCTGAGGAAGCAAGGACGTAAAAAAAGAAATTATAAAATTAACACTGACAAGAGAGGCGCCAAAGGTGCTGGAATGGATTCCGTCCATGACATTGACATAAATTTTGTCTTGGGATGTATTATTATTAATCCTTATCACTTGAAAGAGACAAGATAAAAAAGAACAGAGAAACAGACTGCGAGCCCTATGTGACATATAATGCCACAACAGGACATTGATGATTACGATATTACTATAACCACAGACTTTCCTCTACTAGAAACTAACAAACTAAAAATGCATTCGACTAACTGAAGTGAGATACTGAACTTTTAGCATTTTAAAATATTCAGTCCTGAAATGCATTATGGATAACTTCAACAGTAGTATGAGTGTTATACCATTCATAAAGCAATGGTAAACAAACTAACGTAAAATTGCCTAGTAAAAACACACAAAAGCCAATAAATGCTGACGTTTAAGAAGTCCTGCAAAGAATATGCAACTAACTTGTTAACTTACCACAGCTCCATTCCACACAAAAAGAATTAAACTAGCATCATTAAAACTCACAATGAAACAATTTAGGCTGAAACATACCTGTTAGGTAACACCATTAGTAAAGTGTCTCCATCCTTGAGGCCAGCAGTTGCAAGGGTAGTGTCACTAGACTCTGAAAGTTTGGAGTCATTTTCTCCAGGCTTCAGATAAATAAAAAATAAACATTTCCTTATCTTGTTACACACATACAAATGTTGGCTTTTTCTCTCTGTGTATATGTGCACACAAGAATATTCATCTTTTCTTAATATTCTTTAAACAATGCGTGCATATTCTGACTGATTAGCCTGTAACAGGAATTACAATTTATTCCACAGTATCTCTAAAGGTACATTCAACCTGCAGATATTCATGACGGCATAAACAACGTTCGCCGAAAATTGTGACTAAAAGATATGTTTATTCCTGGAAAGAATGTTAAATGTGTTAGAGTAGTGTAGTTGTTCAGTTGAAGATGAATTCGCGACAGGCCCGGCAAGTCGGCGGAGGATTCAGCGGTTCAAAAAGAAATGCCCAAGATGAAAATAGGAGATGTTTTAGAAATAGGGAAAATAGAGGCCAGCAGAAGGTTAAGACCAGGGTAGGGACAATCAATATATGTGGATGGGGCAATAAAGAAGAACAAGTGATCGAATTAATGGAGAAATATAATGTTAAAGTATTAGGCTTATCAGAAGTGAGAATGAAAGGACGAGGAATGAAGAAACTACATAAAAATTACGTTTTGATACAATCGGGAGTAGAGGAAATGCAACGTGCGAAGCATGGAGTGGGATTTGTCATCGATCCCGAAACTGCAAAAAATATACTTGAAGTTAACTACATCTCGGAAAGAATTATAAGTTTGAAATTACAAGTAGGAAATAGTTCGGAGGTGTTTTTTCAGATATATGCTCCGTGCAATGGAAATTACAGTGAAGAGGATTTAGATTATTTCTTTGAGAACCTGGATGATGAAATTTGTAAGATAGATAATAACGAGAAACTGATCGTGATGGGTGATTTTAACGGTAAGACAGGACGAGACAGAAGAACATTCACAAGATACCTAGGCAATTATGGAGACAACAGCATTAGAAATGAAAATGGCGAAAGACTGTTGGATATATGTACACAACATGACCTTGTTATTACCAACACCTTTTTTCAACATAGAGCTTCACAAGTTTTTACATGGTATAAATGGAATGATCCAGATACCAAGAGTCAGACTGATTACATCTTGACAAGAAAAAGAGACTTTCATCAAGTTACAGATGCGAGAGTTATACCAAACTTGAGTTTAGATACAGATCATAGGATGGTGATCCTTGACAGAAAAATCAAGATAAGTTATCAAACCAAAAAGAAATGTAATAAAAGTGACATAATAAAATGGAAAGAACTAGAGTGTGAAGAAAACAGGCGAGCGTTTCAGCAAAAATTACAGGAAAATTATGAACAGCTTCCACAAAACACTCTTGGGGTAAATACAGAATGGTTGAATTTCAGAGACACCACTATGAAAATAGCACAAGAAATATGTGGAACTAAAAGGAAAGGTAACATAGGGCGTAAGCTCTCAACATGGTGGTCTGAAGAAATAAGAAGTATTGTGAGCAGTAAAAAGAAAGCTTATGGCATTTGGTTGAGGAGCAGAACAGAAGAGGATTACATAACATACAGGAAAATTAGAAGAGAAGTAAATAGAACTATCAGAAAAGCAAAAAGAGATTCATGGGAAAAGTTTGGAAGCAAGCTGGCTGAAGAAGAAAGATCAGCAGTGAAAAACTACTACAAAAAAATCAAAGGCATGAGAAACAGGAATGAAGAATACAACCCAACAGAAATTATAAATGATGAAGTTGGCCAACCTTTAATAGAACCTACTAAAATCTTAGCAAGGTGGAGTAATTACTTTGAAGCATTACTTAGCTGCAATAAAACAGATAAAAGCAGGGAAGAACATAAAAACAACTCGGAACTAACAGCAGAGGAACTAGAACCAGGTATATTATTGGATGAGGTAAAATATGCCATTCGAACCGCGCCTAGACTAAAGGCGACAGGTATTGATGATCTACCAGCTGAGGCCATCAAGGCAGCAGGAGAAACGGGAGCAATATGGTTAAAGAGAATATTTCAGGTGGCATGGGAAAATCAAGAAACACCATCAGATTGGCAAACTGCTGTCATTGTCCCGCTGTGGAAAAATAAAGGAAGTAAGAGGGAATGTACTAATTACAGAGGAATATCACTTCTCAGTCACACTGGGAAAAATGTATGCTAAGATCATCGAAAAAAGGCTGAGACCATTGATAGAGTATCAACTTTCAGAAGCACAGATGGGCTTTCGACGAAACAGAAGTTGCACAGATGCCATTTATACATTGAGACAACTATCAGAGAGGGCAATAGAACATGATAAGACATGTTTGTTGACATTCATAGACCAAGAAAAAGCCTTCGATAGAGTCGACAGGAATATGTTGTGGGAATGTATGGGGAAAAAAGGAATCAGCAATCATCTCATTAATATTTGCAAAAGCCTGTACACACGTAGTGAATGCTGCATAAGATCAAAGGCAGGGTTGTCTAGAACTTTTATAGTGAACTCTGGTGTGCGTCAGGGCTGTGTACTATCGCCGCTTCTTTTCATAACATACATGGACGCCATATGTAGCGAAACAGACTTTAATCAGGAAGAAGATATAACAGAATTACTTTTCGCCGACGACCAGGTACTAATAGCAGAAAATATGGAATGCCTACAGAACCACCTAAATCAAATTAGTAACAAAGGGGAGGAATATAATATGAAAATAAACACTACGAAGACAGAGACAATGATGATAGGAAGACATAAAGACAATTTAGAAATTAAATTAAAAAACAACACCCTGAGACAAACAGAGGAATTTAAGTATTTGGGAGCAATTTTTACTTCAGACGGAAAACTGGACAGAGAAATTAGCTCCAGATGTGCCAAAGCTAATCAAGTAATGGGCCAACTATCTCCCCTGTTGACACACAAGCAGATACCTCAGAGTACTAAAGTGAATCTTATCAGAACTATTTTTTGGCCAATACTATGCTATCAGTGCCAAACGTGGACACTTACATCCTCCAATGAACGTAAAATTGTGACAACAGAGATGAAATGCCTTAGAAGAGCTGCAGGAGTTTCAAGGAAAGACAGAATACAAAATCATGAAATCAGACGAATGCTAGGAATAAAGCCAGTCTTACAGGTCATCAAAGAACAACAAATGAAATGGTTTGGACACCTAACAAGAATGCCCTGGTACTATCTGCCACAGCGAGCCACACTAAAACGTTACAACGGGTATAAAGCGAGTGGAAGACCTCGGAAAAGATGGAGTGATGGCATTAAGAACAGCCTTACAGAAATGAACATCAGTCTTAATAGTGCTCTTGACAGAGCTCATCAACGAACATTACATCTCCCCCCGACACTTCGATGAGGTACAAGGTGGAAGAGAAGAAGAAGAAGAAGATATTCATGAAGTTTTTTTTATTATTATTATTTATTATGTGCTGTCTCCCAGCAGGGATATATTATTATTAGTCCTTATAATTAGTACCTGGTTGGCACAAATCTTATTTAACACAAACTCTTTACTTTTGTGGATTTCTTGTGTCCTTTGCAATTTGCGTTAACAGAGCTTTACTGTATTACGAGCTGATATACCAGTCTCTCTCATGCCACGATTCTTGTACCACAGTCCAAAAGGCATGAGAACAGACCATTTAAACAAAAACAAAAAAAAACCTTGCCATGGTAATCCAACACCAGTACGGTGAGGAGGTAACGTTGTGAAATGCACTCATTAACCACTAAGCGACACAGCCGCGCCATTTAAAGGGAGAATAAACGTGGAATGATTGGCTTTACTGTAATGGTTTTTATCTCATATGGCTTGATCTCTCCGGAAGAGTGTTGGGGTGCCCACCAAAAGCATCATAAAAAGCAATGGATCAGCAGCAACCTCTGAACCACCTGCACTTGCAAACCAAACTATGCAGCCCAAATCTGAACGCACAACTTTCACAGAGCAAGGCAAACAGCTGAACAACTTTGCAGCAGATGCCCACATTATTTTAAATAATGTCAGTCGTTACTCTTCAGATGCTTGATCAGGAGCGGACACAGGCAATTATGACTCCTTAATCTCCTCTGTCAGGTAATATTTTAACCTTTTTGCCATAAGACTTTTCCTTTAGCCAGATCCCCTAGTCACTCCTTGCAGCACCCTTTGCCTCAGTCCGTAATGATCTATTTGTGCCTCCGCACTGTTCACTCCTTCCAAAAGGATGCTTACAACATCTAGCTTGTCATGCACCAATAATAATCAGGGATGCAGTTAGAGCGATTACATGTCTAAAGTATTCAGTATGCATATTGGTGTGGTGGTCATAATATTAAAACCCAGAACTATAAGGGCAGAATCAGTTAAGTAAATACAAAGTGGCAGGGGAACTGTATAATAGTTAGTTGCGTATCTTTTACATGATGCTGCAGATCCAACCACAGCATGTTTTGGCTGTTGTGGTCTTTCTAGTCAAATGTGTTATGGTTTTTCTAGGCAAATTTTACATTCAGTAGTTTGCCACAGCTTTCTGAACGGTCTGCCTCAGTACCACTGCTGAAACCAATGCAAGACAAATCCCCCGCAGCTGGGATCAAACCCAGCACCCCGGCATTATGAAGCTCATTCGCAATGCCTACGCTACAAACAATTACTGGAATTGCATTAACAAACAAAAAGAACCAAAATGAAGACAAATAAAATAACATGTAAGGTTCTTTTACAGGCCAGTAGCACATCGAATATATGAGACTAAACTCATATTTTTATAGACCGATATGTAATGGGGTCAACATCACACTGGCCACCTTTACTTCTCAGGACTATACCTGATACCCATTTAAGGTTGGTTCAACCTGGGAGCCAAGGTGATGCTTGAAAAAAAAATCCAGCTTCATGTCAACCCATGACTTTTGGATCCACAGGCGTGCATCCAGCCGATAGAAAAAAAAACGGCGATTAAAATAAAATGTACTGAACTGCAATCCTAATAGACAATAACAATACAGAAAGTGGAGACAAGCATAAGGCAAACTATTTCCTCACCTTACATGCCAATAAATGATATGTCTGGCAACCTGTTTTGTCTGTCACAGCCTTGTATAGATCAGACAGACATTTGTTCTTGGCTAGCGTGACATATACTAAAATATTTTCATCCGGGTCTTTGATGACCAACTCAATTGGCTCACATTCTTCACCACAGTTCACAAAAGAGTCATTCATCTGTAAGGGAGATAGTATCATTTATGAAAATGTTGCAGAGAGATTGATTTAGTTTGTAAAGAGTCAGTAATCCAAATAAATGATTGATTCTTCTGTTATAGATCATCATCATCATCCTCATGTGCTCATGAGTCTCCACAGATCCTGATCCCTGGTTGCCTGGAACAGCACTCTTGATGATATCCCTCCATGCCATCGTTTTAGCCCATCCAGCATCATCTCTCTTGGCCTGCCCCTACCCCTTTTTCCATGATCTTTCCAGTTGTCACGATGTTCTCAAATGTCTCTCTTCTCATTATGTGGCCAAAGAACAGTGTTTTTTTTTTTCTTCTTATTGTTGTATATAGAGATCTACTTTCATTAGCCTCTTTCAAGCAATCGTTGTTAGTTACTCTGGCTGTCCAAGGTATTTGTAACATTCGTCTCAGAAACCACATCTCTGTTGCTTCCAAATTCTTCTTAATTTGTTCAGTGACATTCCAAGATTCGCTGCCATTAAATGAGAGCGATTTATTGCATAAGACATTTATAGATCACATAAATAAATTTCTAACATAATGCACAAACTCTGTAGCAGTAGCAACCATCCAAATATCTGTATGTGTTTGTATGCAACCAAGCATGTGTATGCATGCATGTGTGCACCCTTTCTCCCTTCTCCTCCCAGAACGGCCAGCGTGCATGCATAAATGCACCTTTACTACCCTACTTGACTACAGAACTGCAAGCAATGAAATTATGCTCCTCAGCTGTAATTGTTACCATCAAGATATGATGACCAGAACTACTCACTTGTTACCTCATTCAGAAACATATCATCATAGCCCACTCCTCCATTCAGTCGTTCAATATGCTTAGCTCAAAAGATTTGCATGCACTAGCTGATCCTGATAGACATTCTAAATCCATCATTTTGCAGATGGTCAAACACAGCCAAGATTTTCAGCCTGTGTTGGTCTTTAATACAGCTGAACAGGGATTTGTACCGCTTTGATTCGCATTCTTGAGGTGTGTGACTGCAATCTTGGAAGAGATAAACTACTACCTTATCCTGTTACATATCTGTAATTGTACAAATATTTCCAGATTCTTCTCAAATATTCATCATACAACCTCTCAGTGCCACCAGACAGAACTGAGCCTTCTCCCCCTTCTTCTTATCTAAATATCTGCTCTAATCTAAATATCTGCTCTATTACCTGTGTGTTCATGAGTTTTCATTCATACATTCTCGTGTTTTATATGTTTTATCTACTGCAAACTGCAAGCATCCCTTAAAGTTAGTTATATCTATCATGATATGACTCTTGTCCAATCAATCTTTCATATATAATTTATGCTCAGTACTATGACAATTTAAACACAGTGGTCTGTCTTAATTTTAAAATAACTGCAAAAATGAGAAAATATAACATTACAAACAGATAACTGGGGTTCATCCTGCTGGATTAACTAATTTCAGTGTTAAACCTTCAGGCAGCAGCCCAGAGAGGCCCACACACAAAAAGAACAGAATGGTGCCTTACCACAGCTCCATTCCACACAAAAAGAACAGAATGGTGCCTTACCACAGCTCCATTCCACACAAAAAAAGAACAGAATGGTGCCTTACCACAGCTCCATTCCACACAAAAAGAACAGAATGATGCCTTACCACAGCTCCATTCCACACAAAAAGAAAACTGTCGGATGTCAAGTTCAAGTCTTGCAGCGTACCACTTTCGTCTGCAATACAAACCAAACAAAAACTTCAGAAATGAATTTGCAGATTCTGACAGGAACTCAGTGAAGTGCAGTAATGAAGCAGAGATGAAAGAACACACTGGACAACTTACGAAAACAACCTAATGCAAACAGATTAGCAGATAACTAAGTGCCACCAAATATTACAAGAAGGCGATTCTAGCATTCTGATCTTGTGGAAACATCAACCACAGATAAAGAAGCAAAGTACCAACAACAACAAATGCCTGACAAGAATAATTTCACAAGAGAGTTTCCAGCAAACAGAAAATATACTCAAGAAAGTTAGACATTACAAAGACATGAACACATATCCAACTTCATCAGGCATTTGTTCAATAAGTTATGCTGTGCCTGTTTACAGTAAAGCTGCGGGTTTTAGCCGACATATTCAACAGTAGCCATCCTGTTTGGTTATGCAGGACATGATGTGGCCTTATTTGTGTGGTGTCCTCTCTGTCCCTTTATCTACAAGTGATACCCCTGGAGAACCCATCTAGTGCAACCTCATGGAGACTGGTTGGCTCTCAATGAAAAGCAGGGGCAGATCACGGGCATTACCTTCCATAAATAGTGCTGACACATGATGCTCCGGTCCTGGGTTCACCCAAAGAATGGTCACATGACTGCTTAACCTCCCATCCATCTTGAGCTTCCTACTCGTCACTGGTTATGCTCTTTGGAGATCATCATGGAGCAGCACACAGGTCCAGGACAACCATAGAAATGGGCACATTCTTCTTCAGCACATGAGACACCTTTAATGTTGTTTCATCTTAGCTTGACAGTATGAATAAAAAGCATGCAACTGGCATGGCTTCCACTTTTTGGTCCCGACAATCTGATGAGTGGGGCCAATGAAAACAGACATCTGAATCTTTCTGTCAATAGCAGAACTTCTGACGGTCAGACATTTAAGATTTTGTTTGTTATGCCACAGGACAAGCAACACTGATGGACATCAGCTGACTGAAAGTAGCATATCTGTGGTGTACCCCCAACGTGGTGATGATGACATGGAAGGTTGGCAAAGGCTGTATGGAGATGGGAACTGCACATTGAGATAATGCTCTCAGAAGATGCTCATCTAAACTGTAAACAAATCTCTTGGTCTAAGGCTGGGTCTCAGCAGTTCTTTCACTCAACAGACACTTGAACTACGGTTTGTCATACAGTAGGAAGTTCGGAAAGCCAGTTTCATTCATGTTCCAAATGAGTTTTCAATGGACATTATTAACCATGCATTGGGGGTGGGTTGATGAGAGCCAGAAAATTTCTGGTTACTGCATCTTTTGAATCACCAACTCTGAGATTTCTGTCAGCTCAATTAAGGCCCTTCTGAGCCATTATCCATAGCATACAATGAGGACATGTAGTAGGAATCTTGCTTGAGGATTCGTAAAACTAGCACAGAGCCTGCAGTGCCCGAGGTAACACACGGAGTATTTGCTTATACATACACAATGACCTTAACCTTCCCTCACACCTGTAGCAAAAATCATTGCATTGCCATTAGATAATACTAATGTTAATAAATTTTTTTTTTTTTCCATGAATTGGCTTGCAGGTAAAGCTACTGTGGAGGGTGGACGAGCCACGGAGGATGCTGATATTCTGAATACACTACGAGAAGGAACATGTTAAAAGGGGTGTGGCCAGAAAAGAGCACTATGCAGGAAGGTTATACAAGAATAAGAAACCAACACAGAACTGGTGTCGTGAGCCGCTACATGCTGCAGGATTTACTAAGGAGGGGATCAGAGCACTTCTAAACTGAATGGTTCAATGTGCAATGAGGATAATCTGTCGACTAACTAACTTTCCATGAATAACAGTTTAATAAGTCTTTAAGCACTGCATTTGTACTATGTTCATTTTATTTTCATGACATCTATATACACAAACAGACTACCCAAACAAACTCCTGAGGGAAATGATGAATATAAAATAGGATGAATTCAAGTGTGGTGAAGAAAAGGGAGAAATTTCTGGGCAACCACTAGTATCAGAAGTTATAAGACATAGAAGATAGTGCTATAACAGAAACATCCTGAAAAGAAACAAGTTGAGAATGACCAAATAGGCACTGAAATTGGAAATAAAGGGAATGAGGAACCAAAGATGTCCAAGAGAGAAGCCCAATGGTAAAGGTTAATAAGAGACTGGATTCCATTCATGATATTATGATATCGAAGTAATTGCAAAGGAAAGAATATAATGGAGGAATAGATTGCAAGCTCTATGTGCCACATAATGGCACAACAGGATGATGAATGAATGAATGACCATCTTCTGAGCCCGTATCCTTATTTAAAACACGTTTCACATAAAATTCATCAAGATGTTCCTGAAACATTGATTTTAAAAAAAAAATTATTCCATCTTCACAATGGAAGTTGACAACAATGTGCACACTGCTAACTAAGGGAAGACTTTATGGTGAGGCCACTAAGAAAGACTGTATACCAACCTGTCAACTCCTCATACAAGTGAAAGCTACCACATCTTGCTTTCATTCGATGCACTGAGAAGTTATGAACATCACTGTCGACAAGAGTCTAAAAACACACACACAAAATGTATCTATCAAGAGGATCATTCATATTTATACAATTAATATCTTACTGTGAGAAAAATACCAAGAATATAACCTGTCTGATTATTTAAGTTATTCCAGATACTGGGAAGTCAGAGTACTTTGCCCTTGCCATATTTTTATCATCTAGACCTCATTTATGTAAGTTGTCCCTTTGTCTAGAGATGTTGCTGCCGGAGAACCACTTTAGGGAAACCTCATGCTGACTGGTCAGCCTCAAGGGAAGGCAGGGGCAGATCAAGGGCATTCCCCACCGTCAAAGTAGGAGGCTTCCTTAAATACAAAGCCAACACATGACGCTCCTGGATTCACCCAAGGAATCGTGACGTCCTGCACATGATTGCTTAACCTCACAACCATATGTAGAGCTTTTCACACGTCATGGGCTGCATCCTCCAGAGATCAGCAGGGAGCTGCCCGCAGGTCGAGGACTTAGATAACCACACAAATAGGTACATTCTTCTTTATCAAGTAAAACATCTTTAATGCTGTTTCAATTGTGCCCTTAGCATGACAGTATATAGAGGCATGCACCAGGCATGGCTTCCCTTTTTTGGTCTAAATACTTAGGTGAGTGGGCCAATGGACCTAACATATAAATCCTACTAATATGCAGAAAGGTAAAGGTAAAGGTAACCATTAACCTTTCTGCCAATTAGTAGGATTTATGATGGTCAGATATTGAGACTTTACTAGTATGCCATAGGATGTGTTTTTGTCAGATATTTGAGCCTAACCAGCAGACTGACACTGGCTGACATGGTTTACCCCATCACGGCGACGACGACATTAAGGGTTGACAGAGGATGTACAGAGACAAGATTTTACCTTGAGTAACCACCCACATGAGATGTTACTCATCTAAAATACAGGAAAATCTCTTGATCTTGGACTGAGCCTCAGCAGTTTAGTTTTCCTTTCACTCGACGGACTTTTAACCCGAGGGTTGTCATTTAGTGATACATTCGGCAAACTGACTTTCCTCATGTTCCAAATTAGTTTTCATAGAAGCTTTTACTCATGCATTGGGGGTGGGCTGATGAGAGCCAGGCTGGGCACTACATCGCTGGGGACCACCAGCTCCAAGATCCTATGTCTGCACTGTTAATGCTCATCTGAGTCATTACCGTGGCGCACGACAGGGACACACAGGAGTCTTGCATGAGGTTCAATAAAACCAGCACAGAGAAAGGCTGGCACTACAGCTGAGGTACGGAGTATCTGCTTTTACACATCACATCGGACTTAACTCTCCCTCATTCCTGTGACCGAAATCACTATACCAAGTAGTAGTCAATATAAGGTCCTATTCTTAAATACCCTTTCTGACTTTCATAATTTCAATAAAACATACTCCCCTAAAACACTGGCAGTTAAAGCAAATTAAGCTGACAAGCTGCACAAGGTTATTTAATTTTACAGACATTTGGGATGTCTGATCTGGTTATTAATTACCCTCTACAATAACTGCAGAATTTAAGATTCTATTCTTAAATACCCTTTTATAATTTCAATAAAACATACTTCCCTAAAAAAATGGCAGTTAAAAAAAAATTAAGCTGACAAGTTGCACAAGATTATTTAATTTTACAGACATTTGGGATGTCTGCTCTGGGCGTTGATTACCCTCTACAATAACTGCAGAATTTAAGGTCCTATTCACTTTCATAATTTCAATAAAACATACTCCCCTAAGAAACTGGCAGTTAAAAAAAAATTAAGCTGACAAGTTGCACAAGGTTATTTAATTTTACAGACATTTAGGATGTCTGCTCTGGGCGTTGATTACCCTCCACAATAACTGGAGAACCAGCCATTTGCTGATCTCTATGACATAAGTGAGAGATAGCAACAAGCAAAAGGAAACAAGTTTGGTAAAAGACACAATAAAATTAGTAAAACAATCCGAAACTTATGTGGTCTATCGCATGCATTGTGTACCATCGGAACTGGAACTCTTCACTAACTACTAAAGATAAGGACAGAGCGCACATATGGAAATATCCGGACAACTGTGATGTCGGTTCTTGGCGCTGCTTAACTCAGAGAATGTATTTCTAAACACATGCAGACTTGTTTAAAATGCAATGATGATGATAATTTTGATAGCAACAAGAAAACTGAATAAATAAATCCTTTTTCTTGTCATTCATCAGAGTGACATAACTGCACTGAGCCTGTTTACAGCAAAACTGCGATATTTGTGCCCTTTGGCCAACACATCCGTCTTCAACAAGCATTTGTTGACTAGGTTAACTTCCAGAATAAATAATTTTTCTTTCCAGATATTTTAAAGTCAAAATAAGAAATAGTACATCATAATGATGTTATAAGGTTATAGTTATTAAAAACTTTAAAATCTTCAATCATGTATATCTATTTTGGTCAAAGCACTTTGTAAAAACATAAAAGGAGCGCCTACCTCTTTAATTCTTGCCCTCAAGTATTGAAAACTGCTCCTCCTGTCAATTTCTATGGGACAATGTGCAGCATCAAATGAGACACCTCCCTTGATTTGGAGCAGGCCATTGTAGGTAAAATGCTCTGCCAAAAACACTTTCACTGTGATAGTGTTTATGGTCTTTTCATAGTCTTGCCTGCAGTTAAAAAGAAATACTCAGAAAAACGAAAGTGCTGGGTGCCAGGTCTAGGTTTTTTTTTAAATACCAGAAAGTTCCATGTCTACAATTTCTTGGTCAAATAAGGTGTTAGATCTACAATGTTTCAATCAAACATGGTGCCAGGCCCATTCTGTTTTAACCAAATAAGACACAGGGTTTATATTTTCTTGACCACTTAATGTGCTAGATATATAGCTGGTGCTAGATATATAGTTTCTTAGTTTCTCAACCGCTCATTTATCTCTTGAAACTATTTTTGGTATTAAACTGACTAGGTCTGATCAACCCTCAGAGCCACAGGATCCCAAAACATCTTGCCCTTGCTTTTGTAATGAATCATACGGATTTGATCCGGGAATTACTGGTCCCCCCAAAAAATGCATTAACCACTATGGTTTAGTAACACAATCAGAATTTGTATATTTTTGCATAACTGCTCTCTGATCACAGCCTGCCAGTAAGTCTCTCAATCCAATTCCGCTGCCATGTGAAGTGTCCTATCCAAAGTATCACGTTTACTTGGTGCCCATATTTATGGTCAACCCGTGCTTCTTTTCCAGGAACAGTTTTTTCCGTTCTGCTCTTTTCAACCTGCTGCTGCAGTTTAAAGTATTATAATTTCTGAGACATCACACTATTTCTGAGCCAGTTTTCTATGAAGTTCATATCTTTTAGATTTTCAGTACAGTTTTTTTTCTTTCTTCTTCTTCTTCGTGTTCACCAGCTGTACACTCTGGTGGAAAGTTCTGGTTGCTCGTCCACTAATGAACTGCAGTCCTGCTCTAGAACCTGAGTGCTGCGTGTGCATCAGTTTTACAGATCTCATTCTCTTGAATACAGACTGTTGGTTCCTCACTCCGACTTCAAAGGAAGCTTCCCAATTAGTCTCGACTCTTACCACATGCTTTTGGGGAGGCAGTGGGTCTATTCATGTTTTCCCCGCAATGGGGCCCCGGAACCCACACATGGTTTTTTTTTTTTTCTTGATTCATTGTATTCCACAAATTTTTCTGTGACACTCAAAGCAATACCAAAGGTTACAGACATTACACACCAAGATCCACCATTGACTTCAAAGGAAGTAAACTCCCAAAAGTTAGCGTCTCGACCTTCTTCTTCTTTGTTGACTGGATGTAAGCTCTATGCTTTTCAGCAGAGTCTTTGTGCAGTGGTTTTGCGTATACTCCATTCTTTTTTATTTGTTTTGGTTGTTCCTTGCCACTTGGGCAGATGCACTCCGACTTCAAAGGAAGTACCCAGTTAGTCGACTCCTACGACATGCGTTTTGGGTAGGCAGTGGGAGTCTATTCTTGATTTCCCCACACGGGGTTGGTTTTTTTTTGCTTTGTTCCAGAACTCAAGTTCCCATGCATGTCCACAAATTTTTATGTGAGTGCTGTGATTCCTCACCTCAAAGCAAGATCACACGGATTTGAAGGAAATCTTTACTTCGGGGAGCAGCAGGACGGTACCTTTTCCTACCTTCATTATTGGGCATATAGGCTAGTTAAATTATAGACCAATGGCACTGGGTAGGTTTACCACGGATCATTTTACTCTAACGGTACCTGTTCCCAGGCTGGAAAATTTCCCAGACTCCTTACCTCCTGTAGCAAACCTGTTGTAGTGTTGAATCTTGTATGACAAAACGCCCTGCGCTGAAATAAAAGTTACAATAAAGTCAATCTAGTGGGCTAATTTTGTAAGGAAATTCATCAAATCTTTGAGAAATATGATCAAATTGCTTTAAAGCTATCACTGAAATGGTGAGATCAAGAGAAAGCACAAATAACAGAGTGTGTGTGTGCGTGCATGTGTGCGCGCCCACGCATAGCAATATTTTATTGCCTGCTTTATCTCTCCTTTTCTAACCCAGCATGCTAAAAATAGTTGCAGTCTTGTACTGCATGTGGAGAATAGATGCAATGTTGTACTATTAGATGGAAACAAGTTGCAGTCTAGTATTGCATGTGCAGAATTTATGCAATGTTGTACTATATGTGGAGACAAGTGGCAGCCCTGAACTGCATGTGGAAAATTGATGCAATCTGCAATTGTATGTGGAGAAAGATTATAGTTTTGTACCGCATTTGAAAAAAAGCTGCAGTAATGTATTGTATGCGGGGAAAAGCTGCAGCTGCAGTCTTGTACTGTATGCGGGGGAAATTGCAATCTTGTACTGCATACAAAGAAAAGTTATAGTCCTGTACCCTATATAGAGAAAAGTTGCATTCTTTTACTTAAACTTACATTAAAATTAAACATTTGTAAGTATTTATTGTGCCCCATAATCAAATTTTTTTTTAAAATTAAATCACTCGAACTGCTAGTCTTCAATTTGGATTTTACATTCAGTTTTTAAAAATCTTTTGTGACACCGGCACGTATGCACACACTCACACACAATTAGAGTGTTGCCTCACTGGATGTCCACACCTTCGACATAACTAACTTATACAACACTAGAGGATCATGCTTACTGGCCTAGACAACAAGACTCTTAACACAAAATAAAAATTGGTAATCAAACCTTCCTCTGGTCTGTAAAGACTTTTCTTTCTGTAGAACAGCATGTAGGCACTTTCTTTTCCAGAGAACTGCCTCTCTATATCAGTGGTTTGAATAGGTGTCACCACTGAGTCATTGAAGCAGAACCACCGCTGTCCTGGCTCAGGAACTGAAGACTGGGGCCTGGAAAATAAAGATATCATTTAACTGTAGGTTGGAATTGGTCAGGATGGTTGTAGAAAGGTCTAGAAGCAATCAGATGAGATCAATGGGAAAACAGTGTAAAAGGTAAGATCAAAGATAATTTCCAAATCTAAAAATTTCGACTCACTGCAGAGTGAGCAGAAGGTCTGGATGATATTCAAGAGGCAGGAAAAAACAGGAATGCTTTTAATCAGGTTGCAACTGGCACCATCGATATGAACATTCTTTGTTGGCTACTGAGGAAAAGCATGGGTAGGAATGTCCAGAGTGCAATGATGTCAATTCTACATTCACTTAGTAAAGAAACTTCCAAGACAAATGTGACTTCACTTATATCGCTAGAGGCTGCAAGCCCCATGCCTCTTTACAGCACAATATAATACTACAGTGTGGAAAGATTGAAAGGTGCCAATAACCTTCAACTCTGATTCAAGCTGTCAAACTATGTACTATGTATGACTGATTCTTTGCTGCATCTTAAGTTCCCAAATAATAAAGACTAAGAGAAATTCACATGCTATAGCATAGGGCTATTCAACTGGCAGCCCACATGCCAAATCAGGGCCGCTGCGGTTTAGGAACTGGCCCGCACATCCTTGCCAGATGATTAAATACTTTTTTAATACTGGTTTTCGGGCCTCCGGCCGTAACAATCATTATCTTCACAATTTTGGCCCAGGAGTAAACTTAGTTGAATAGCCCTGCTATAGCAGAACAGATACATGCATTCAACGTTTACACTCACAGAAGCAAAATATAAAGGACTACAGCAAAACTAACTTATGTGTCACCAAGGAAGGCATAAAAACAGTAAATCAAAACTTATCATGCATGTTACAAGAAGTAAATAAAGAGGCTTAGTGTAAGGCTGGCTACCTTATCCTGCTTAAAACTTAAGCTGCAAAGTTTCACTAACTATGAAGAAGTCTAGAAGGGCTTGATTTTAATAGCCTATGCTACACAGGGGGATGAAAGACTGAAAAAGAATGGCAGAAACACAATTTAAAAAAAACTGTCCATAAACTATTTATCTAATGTTCTCTTTCTATTTACAAATATTTTTTTATTTTGTGACTCGGACATTGGTCACAAAACTAGTGTTTTTCACCTTGCCTTCTAAATTATTTTTAGAAAATTTTGAAAAACACTAGTCAGTCATTAATATTTAATTTTTTAAATTTTTTAATAAGGAACAAAAATTTACTTCAATACCTCTTTTTAATTACAGGAAAAAGTCCACATTTCAAGAAGATACTTCAATAATATTATTAGGATGAGAAACACTGAACACTCACTGTTTATTTACATGTGGTTTTTGACTAGATTTTCCACTGACTTCAGCTTCAACCTCACTGTTCAAGTTGATAGACTCAGGTGTCACAACTTCCTCATGATTTGTCTGTGGCTCCTGTCCAGGAAACTCGTAGACTGACCCAGTTAGAGTCAGGGTTGTATTCAAACAAGCTGCATGACTTCAGAAACTGAAATGTATACATAAACAAACATAAACATATACATACACATGTGTGCATGTTTTTCCCCTCTATAACTATTAAAATTATGGTACAAGGAAATAAACAAATGATTCTTTGCCATCTGTCTTTGGGAATATTATGTGGTGAGATCCCAATCTCTGCCACAGGGTCACTCTCAGACTATTATCCTAAACCATACAAACATATCTTTTTTAAACAAAGTGTACACCACAAAAATCTTGTTCTTCTTTTTAGAATTCACTGGCTGTAAACTCCAGGGAAAAATTATAGTTGTTTGTCCACTTTTTGACTTTGGTCCTGTTCCAGAATTTGAGTTCTGCGTGCATATCGGTTTCATAGATCTGACTTAATTGTATGCAGACTGTTGATGCACCGTGACAAAACACCCCCAATTAATCTCTTTCTACGACATGCGTGGGGTCTCCCCCCCCCCCCCTTTACAAAATGGGGCGCCGAAATCCACACGGGAATCAAACTCTAGTGCTTGAGGATCATGAAATTAGGTGTCAGATTCACATTCCCAATTCCAGTTGTCCAACAAAAATTCAAAATTTGATCCTTTTTCTGCCGCCTGGAGGCCTGCTATATGAAGGAAGGTTTCTTGGCTGTCTTATTTTATTTCCTTTTATTTATGGTGTGTAGTCACACCTGATATTCCGGTTCTTTGCTTCCTTGTTGCGGTGTGGTGCTTGTGGTTTTTGGGTCTGGTGTGGTCCAGTTCTCTTAGTGATATCTATGGGTTTTAGCTGATTGTCGCTGGTGCTTGGTTTACCTCGTGCTGATCGCTGTGCTGATCGCTGTGCTGGTGCCCTGGTTCTGCTTGGTTGCCGTTCTGTAAAGCCGCCGGGAAAAGCCAAACAAACACCAGGTCACAACATCTCAAACAATGCTCCCTTTCAGGACAACCAGGGCCGTCACAATCTGTTGTTGTGATCAGTCCGTGTTAGGTGTTAGATCTTCACAAATACAAGGTTATGGCAATTATAGGTGAGTGGTCAGCTACATTCATTCAAACAAAAATTCTCAGAATGATAATGTACCCACCTCAAAGGGTTGGTTATACCTCTATTCCATCATCACCAGGTTAGTCTATATGAGTGATGCTGAAGTTGTTATCATAACATGACCAAAAAAATAGGCTGTTGCTTTCTGACATTTGTGACTTTCAGGTGAAATAATTCTAGCTTGCTAGCCTCAGGTAATATAATTTAATACAGACCACATGGTAAAACTACCAAAGGAAATAACTCAGTAAATTTTTCCAAGTGAAATAGCTCAGGGTAAATGTCACCAAGGGAAATAACTTACTAAATACTTGCATATGATTGTTAGTGCCCTTAGTGAGATATAATAAATCGGGGGACTTTGGAAGCAATGTGTAAAATATCACTGCTAAGCTTACGAGAATTAGGAGTGAAGAACAGCACAACCAAGCATGAATGGCACAAAGGACGTACAAGAGGTCTTGTTAACCTGCACAGGACTGGCACTATTAACCGTGCAACGGTAATGAATATGCTGAAGGGGGAATATGAGCACCTGTGGATGTGACCCGAGTGCTGTGAAGATAATCTGATTCATAACTTATGTGGCAGCAAATATACATAAGAAAATGGGATCAACATTAATTCAAACTACAGGTCAAGGAGTGTTGCATCAAGGAATATGTAGACTGCAGTAATAACCATGACAGCATATCATATTGTAAGTATCACAAACTGTATGCTAACAGGGAAACTCAATCATAATATTTAAAAAAGTTTTTTTGTAAACAGGCTAGGCAGTTCCCAATGGAAAGACCTGTCGTTTTGTTTAATATGGCCGGTGGCCGGTTTACGTGTTAGCTGATGAAATACCTTATGCAAGAATTCTACGTGTGTGCATAGTAACCAACTTATCGTGCCCGACTACTTCCTTCAACGACAAACTGCACTTCTGGTGGTGATTGTTCGCTTTGCCGTCTCGAGCAACTGAAATACGCATTTCCTGATTGTACATATTTCTGGATTGTTTCGGAACTTTTTTTTTTTTTTTAATTACCAGTTTTTCATATGCAACAGTGAGGGACATTTTATTTGATTCGCACTAGCACAGGAACGGAACAAGTGTGGGGGAAACGCAACTGCGATGATGTTGAAACCTCCACTAAATAACTGACTGATTGACCTGACTTAAACTTGGGGCAGCTTTAAAAAAAATTGAATACATTATTTAAAAGAAAGACTAGATGAAAATACTACTTACTTTATTTATCGGACCATGGGCTTTTTTAAACCGCTTGTTCCATGAGACTCCGGTGACTTTGGTTATTTCCTGTCAACAAAACCCAACAATACATGATAGTTAATATATAACATCAGATACCCTACAAGTAAGATCGCTATACGATAGACAATGCATGCTGAAGACCTCAAATGAAGACCATGATTTCTCTCCGATTCGGATGCAAAGTCTAGATATGACAACTGGAGCAGCAAAACAAGAAAACCATGCAAGAGATCAGTGTCGCTAAATCAACTAGTACAGAACAGGAGTTGTCAGCCTAAAAACACCAACTCTTTAAGTACCAGAAGATTTTGCAAGATATTCTAAGGGTAGCAATAGTCACAGTAAATATAAAATGTAATAACCTCACTGTCACTGTTGTATTAACACATCTACCTGCCGAAGCAGTAAAATAACTAGCCAGGTTTCTGTACTGTGCTTAGGCTAAACATCAGATCACATTTTTGGTTGCTTTGTACTCATGGGCAATAGCCTGTCACACATGGTGAGTTGACTGCGATTGAAAGAGTTAAGTAAAAGGCTTAGGAGAAGACCTGAAATGGTATATCCAACATGCAACAAAGTTGATCTTCAAATGAAAAAGGCCTTACTTGAGAAAACAAACTATGTACTGATTTATATAAACAAAGTATTTTTCAGAACACTATGATACATAATCTGCCATCAATTTTTGTATGTGATTATACTGAAATAAAATTTCTATTAAAAGTTTTGCTTTACAAATTTAAAGTAATCAAAGCTTTATCCTAACCTGAAATCTTCATGGCAAATGCACTAGACCTACGACCCTAAATCTTCAGATTCAAACCCTCATCCCACACTGCCCTATAAAGTAGGCAAATACAGACAGTAAAGATCACATTATTCAGACTATTTTTAAACCAATCATACCCCTGTGGGATGCAATTTTACGTGATTTTGAAGCCCCGCCCTGGCTCTTGCCAGGGGCCGCAATATAGCCCAATCATAAATAGGGTCTAATGGCTGAGCGTGGTTTCCGGGATTTCTCCACAGGGGATCCTCATCTACATGGAGGCAGTGTCATCGGGTGTTTATCGCTTGTGTGATGTCCTGGTGAGGTAGAAAGTCAGTCAGTCAGTAAAGATCGCACAGGAACTAATAATAATATCCCAAGTCAGAGTAATTTCAGTTACATGTAAGGAACCTGCAAAATTAGAAAACAATGTATATCGAGTTTGAGATTTTCTCGAAAACTGGAATACTCTGTTTATATTAAATGTCACAGCAGCTTAGAGAGATTGTAGCACAAGGCACAGTTCCTGGAAGACAAGTCAGTGACACATCAATGCAAAGGTAGATGAAGGTCAATAAACACAAGGGAAAAAAAGCATAAGATAGGGGCAGTCATAGAAAGATCACTAATCGTTTCAGTGGGCCATGACGAGAAATATTTTACCAAGACTACATGGCAATGATCGTGTGTAACCTTAATGAGGTACTGTTCTCTACGCACCCAACCCGACAAGCAGCCAGAACTACAAGATAAGACGGCCACGAATATGTCTACTGTGTAGAACTATTATGATGATTTTATCAGTCAACAAGCGACAGCACAGATTACCACTTACTTACCGCACACAGCCTTGTGATTGACATGGAGCAGTGAGACTCTTTCCCTAAGATATTTTCTACCAGATCCACTGGAGACTGGCACTCAATCACATCCAAGCCCGTCACGCTGGGGTCAACCTTACGTTCAACAGTTGCTCCATCCTGGTAAAGAGACATATTTCTTGAATGATAAACATCTTAACTGAATGATTTCATACATTACATGCATGAAAGGCACAGAGGATGCACAAGAAGTCTGTTTTGACCATCAGATTAATCATCAGCAAGTGCTGTCCTCACAGAGAATGTCAGCTATAAGTCTGTTACACCCTCTGTGCTGTGACATTTTCACTCAAAGAAATGTGACTATATTTTCACAAGCTGATATCTTTTTCTTTGAGTTCACTAATTAGCCTTATGACAGGATTGTTAGGCAGGCAGTGAGTCTACACCCCATCCCCCTTTCCCACCCTCATGATGGGGCCCTATAACCCAAACGGAGAACAAGCTAATATAAAGATTCAGCCTTTTTTTTTTTAACTTAAAAAGATTTGACATGATTGAGGTCTGATATTCCATTAATACATTTGTGATGTTGCTGATATCACTCAGTGAGCAGATGCAAAGTACCAGAACTGAAAAAAATTTAAGGATTACACACAGTACTTTTCTGTGTATAATACACGACTACGTGTAAGATAACCCCCATTCTGTTTAGCCCAAAATGAAAAATTACAGTAAATATTTTAATTACCAAAGAGAACTACCTTAATATTTAATTAAAGATTTTAAAAAGCTGGTTTATTTAGTATTCAATATTTAAATTTCAAACAGAATAACTCTACCAATATAAGTAGCATCATAATTACAGTTCGTAATATTTGTTTCATTTCTTTTTTTGTGGCTATTTAGTATTATTATAATGTGCAGTTTAAGAGCAGCCATAGGCCCAGCAGAGTTTATAATGTCATATTCGCCCATGGAGAAGCTTAAAGAATCAATAAAAGGCAAAATCAAAGCAGTGGACCCTTTACAGAGGTTCCAAGAGACAGTAATACGGCAGTGAGTATGTATATAAAACTATGACTGCAGCAAACATGTGTCCACTCGCAGAAAAGTGCACACAGGTAGGTAACATTAAAAAACAATGCATCACTCTCAGTTCCAGATATATCATTTTCCTCAACCTCTATGGCATCACTTCTGTCTTCCCAGTCACTGTCTTTGTATATGAGATCATCCTCAGCTCCACCCATGGCATTGCTGACTCCATATCATCCACATTTCTTGAAGGATTTCACAACCATCTCTTCACTGTCTCCACTTTGTGAGTTTATGACCCATTTGAACACCTCAGTAATGGATGTTTTTTTCCCCCTCTCTTCTAGCTGCTGTATCCATTTCTTTCATTCTTCTTTCACCAGTGCTCTAAAGGTCTTGTTAAAATAGGTAAACAAGCAAAAAGCTTGTCGACTGAAACATCTGCTGACTGTAGCTGACCTGATATCTGTAAAATGACAAAAGAAAGACAAATTGCTCTCATACTGCTGCTACTTACTGGGTGTACCCAATGTCCCAGGTTGTCTATGTCTCTGATGTAAGCAAAATAGTGCCCACCAAAGGCACTGCCTCTGTGTACAACCACAGAAAATAAGTCATATAAGTTATCATTGTCTTCTGTTGAGCCCTGTTCAAACAGAGAAATAAATATTTGAGCTGGTACATTTACAAATTTATGTAGTACTCTTAGATGCTACCGTAAGTAAATAAATAAATATTAGATCTCTCTCTTTTCTCTGTGAGGGAGACAGACAGTAAAGGGTTGGTGGATACCAATATTCAAATGCATTAAAAGTATACATGCACATGAGCAAGTGCGCACACATTAGGTATATTTTAATTACTTTTTCAGATACAATTCTTCTTTATCTTCACATTCACCAGATGTAAGCTCCAGCAGAAATTTCTGGGTGTTCGTCCACCTCCGGATTTAGTCTTGTTTAAGAACTTGAGTGTTGTGTGCACATCCGTTTTACAGATCTGGTTTATTTGTATGCAAACTCTTGGTTCCTTGTCTCTCAGGAATTGTACTGTTGACTTCAAAGGATGCCCCAAGTTAGTCGACTCCTGTGACATGCTTGTTGGGGAGAATGTGGATCTATTCTTGTTTTCCCTACAACAGGGCCCCAGAAACCATAAAAGAAAGCTACAATTCAATCTTGTACCATATTTATATTTAATTCAATCAACATTTATAACATCCCATTAATATTAAATAAAACACAATCTGTATTTATTATATCACATTAATATTTAATACAATACAATCTGTATTTATATCACTCATGTTTTATTTAATACAATCTCATTTATAACACTACATTATTATTTAGTACAATACAGGATGTATTTATAATGTTTTTTTTTTATATGTAATTTGTATTAATAGCATCACATTTACACTTAATACAATTTGTATAATAACATACATTTATATTTAATACAATACATATTTATAACATCATATTATTATTCTAAAACAATCTGTATTTATATCATCACATTTATATTTAACTCTTTAAGACCCGAGCAATGCTGTGTGTGTTGACTGAGAAGTTCCAGTTTGCCCAAACAACTGTCAGTGTCAATCGTGTGTCCCATTACATATTGCTTCGCACAAGGCTCCGTATTTATTGCTTATGTTCGGAACTACCATTAAAATATTCAGGGAAGGTTATTCTAAAGTTTTCCTTTGAATAAAAGTCTGTGTTTCAACACACATGGGCAAATTGATCCGATTCACTGCTATCACAATTTACAACCGTGCATTTTCTAAGTTCGTGTTCGAGTGCCATGAATCCCAAAGTTTCAACCATAAGCAGAAGTTGCAAATTGCGTTTTTCTGCAGCCGAAGCTCTGAAATTGTTTAAGTCTGATGTTTTTAATTCTGATAATGATAATTCAGATTTTTCAGAAAGTTATTTGGGTGGTGAATTTACAGCTAAGCGGTCAGCTGTTAGAGAATCTAGTTCTAGCAGTTCTGAAGAGTCTGACACAGAGAGTGTTCCATTGCTACTATCTTTAGGGTGAAAGAAAAGGAAGGTGCTCCAAACAAATGGAAAGACAGCACTATACTATGACTAAGCTACACTGAAATAATTGCAGCTACAGTCTGTAAATAACTGTACAAAGTAAATATTGTGTGTCTAATGGTCCACTTTTCAGCTATGTTTTTTTTTTTTGTTCAGCACTCTGAGAACTTAGAGTCTCTGAAGGCTAAACTAATCCCGAAACTTATAACTTTGGCATTAGTTAGGAAATTGAACAAACTTTAAAGTGTTATTCTCAAATTTTGATATTTGCTGCTCTTGTGGTTGCAAAACCATGGTAAGTGACAACTTTTTTTTTATATGTTGTGAAATTAACACGTGCTAAATTCTTCTTTCCTACTAACTAAAACAGTATTAAACATACATTGATCATCAGATTCACAATGTACAATTATTTCTCTTTTAAAAAATATTTACTTTTGTAGAGATCAGAAGTATATTGCATTCTCTATTGCTTTTTTTTACACCATCCCCTCTGTCATTTTTGTAAAGGGAAATTAATGTGAGCCAAGTCTGTCAAAATTCATGGGCCTGAAAGAGGAAATACAACCTAAATACTAACCTTTTCAGAATATGGACTCATGTCCAACTGCATAGGAAATGTAAATCTTCCATTTTCCTGCAAATAGTTGATGACAAGCAGTTTTGTGAAATACCCAAAAAATATTAATTTTAATGAAACCTTTTTTAATGTCAGATTATAAATAATTCAGGGAGTCGCCGTGGCGGAGCGGCTAGACGCACGCCGCGGATCGGAAGGTCGTGGGTTCGCTCCCTGGCGGAGCCGGACTTTTCTTTAAAAATAACCTTGGCCCCCAGGTTGACACAGCCTTGAGTGGGTACAGATGCAGTCCAGGGAAGTAAAGGCAGCTGACGTGATGCTGACCACATCACCCATCTCGTGCCAATTGATCTATAAAAATATAGGTCTAGCCCTATATGCCCTTTACACCTAAAGGCGTGGAAAAGGGTCCTTTACATTTTTTTTTATAAATAATTCAAGCAAATTGTGTATACAATTTCAGCAACACAAATGGCTAAATTAAATATCATCATCATCAAGTGCCTCACCACCTGATGTGAGCAATCATGCCTCTCCACCCTCTGCTATCTTCCTCAGCATGTATCAGTTCATGTGCCGAGACCCCTCCATGCCATGACAAAGGCTGTCTAGAATCTTCTCAAGCTGTCTTCCTCTGTCACTTTTTCTCAGATTCCACCAAGTGTTCACAGCGTGTTCCATTTTCCTTTTTCATAAAATAGGACCTGAAAAATTTATCTATCTAGTTGTCACAACATGCTCCAGTTTCCTTCTTCTCATTATATGACCAAAACATTAATCTATATAGTGGTCACAATATGTTCCACTTTCCTCCTTCTCATAATACAACTTTTAAAAACAAGTCATAATGAATAAAAGCAAGATTGTATGGTTCCATACATTTAGCTGCCCAATACACAATTGCCATTCTTATCAGAAGACAAAGTTAAAAGCATGCATAATTGCAGCATTCCTTGCATAACATATGTACGTGAAATGCGTAAGCTATCATACATGTAACACACACAGTTATCAGAAATAAATAACGTGGTTTCTTAAAATCATTATCAATAATTAATAATGTAGCGTTACTGACACAGTGACAGTAGTAACTGGTTGTATCGCCATGGAAAATGTAAGTATGTAGTACAAGAAAACAGCATGTTAAAGCATACAGGTAGGACAGCTATATTATTGCTGCGAATGTTTAGATTAAAAAAAGACTTCTTCCTCTTCTGCAAACACCTTTAAAAAGGCAGTAGGCAGGTTATGATGCGGTTCACAGCTAGGCTGCAATATCTGTGCCTTTCCACCAACACATCAGATTTCAGAAAACACTCACTCAGTGGTTTTATACAACATGCTCGTTAAGGGACAGTGAATCTATTCTTTTTCGCCCAAAGAAAGTAACGGTGTTGAGCCTGTTTACAGCATGGCTGCGATATCTGCCACTTTCGGCTGACATATCCAACTTCATCAGGCATCTGTTCACCGGGTTAACCTTCCAAGTTGGTTTCTGCATCTTTCAGCCCAACACATTCCATTTCAGAAAACCCATAACTGTAGGCCTTCAACAACAAGCTCGTTAAGGAGACATTGAAGCTATTCTCCCCTCCCCCGAAAGTCAGAACCCCAGGACCCACATTGAGAAAGTGTTCTAAATAAGACATTTAGCAAATGTGCACATTACTGCACACAGTAATATCTTTGACTCACCTTGTAGCGAGACATCTTGACAAAATCGTAACTAAATCTCAGTAATGATACAGTCAGCAAAGGGGGAAGAGTTCTCAACTTGGCACCCTGTAAAATATGACAGAAACATTCAGAAAACACAACATTCCATGCTCATATTAAACCTACTGAAAAATTCTTTACAACAAAGAACAATTTAGGTGATGCTTAGCTACTAACCAATTAAAAAAAATTTAATATTCTGACTCTGATATAGATCTGAGACAAAAAGAGGAAACAAAACTAACGACTAGATCCATGATGGGGATTTGGAGAACCAACTCCAGTTGGGTTTTTTTTTTTTTTTGGTGCATTCTGTGATTTTGCTAGGCAGATTTACATGCAATAGTTTGTCAATGCTTACTGAAAGGTCGATTCTTAATACCACTGTTGAAATTATTGCAAAGCAATCAATTAACTGCAGCTGGCACTGAATTGAGTACAAACTGTGTTTGCCTAGTCCGAGCCACAGACGCAAACAGATAGAAATCTGCACTATAAATCACAAACTCTTTTTGTATTTCCTAGGTTTATTTTAAATGGTTAACTCCTCCCAAACCGTGACTAGTCATGACTACAATGTTTAACAGTCACATCGGCGGCCTAAGTTATTTTGCATTTCTTTATTTATTACGACAATCAGTTAAAGTAAAATTTTGCTGGAGTTATATACCTTTGAATATTTTTCCTCATTATTTTCCCTGAGAAAAGAATTTTGTAAAATTATATTTCGTTCTTATCTCCGTTAAAATCACATATATGTCTGAGAGAATATATTTGTCTGTCTGCCAAACTGTAAAATACTGGTGTCAGTATTACAAGGGATGCCTTGTTACATTGAGAGGCAATCACTAAAGTGACAGCAGCGGTGGAGACAAGGGAGTACAAGATGGGATATTAAAAATAGTGTTTTAGTTAGACACCTATTTTCACTTGGCCTTCATATATGGCAATGGTGGAGACCTAGATGAGGTAGAGGATGGGAGAATAAGATTTTCTTTCACCCTCCAGGGCAAATAAATCTAGTTATTTACATAAAATAATAGATTTCACAGAGAAAGATGGACACATTTTAAAAATTATTAAAACAAAAAAAGTAGTGCTTCAGATGAAAGTTTCAGAATACAGATTTTCCAATATTTCAGGCCCAAATGGACCATTATTTTCTGAAATCTTCATCAAATATTTTGTCTTGTAGTGAAAGTTAACCTTAGTGGCATCAGTATACGTCTGGCAGATCTCACAGCGGTACTGATTGCGTCCGTCCATCACTTCAACATCACAGTAACTCTGTTTCAGAGCAGACTCCAGTCCTGACACTCCTGCTACAGCTAATGTTAAGTCCAGAAAATCCTCCTGTTGATAAAATACATGGCAAAAAAGTTAAAGTGTGTTTTTTTTTTTCATTTATACATTGTTCACATGGTAACTTTGGTTTTTCCATTTAAATATTTTCACAGTAATTGTTTTATTCTTTCATTTATACATTTCAAATGGCAATGACTAACCTCATTGGCAGACACTTATAGTTGTTTGAAATGTTAAAGACTTTAATAATAATAATAATAATAATAATAATAATAATAATAATACAATTTTGAAAAAAAGTATAAAAATGGACACATTTCACAAGGTAGAGTACTCATCCCTCATCCTGATGTATACCCACCAACACTAGCAAACCATGTATCTATTCCCAAGCCTGGCCTGTCAAGGTGATGTTACTGTGTGGTTCTAGTGATGTTACTGTGTGGTTCTAGTGATGTTACTGTGTGGTTTTAGTGATGTTACTGTGTGGTTTTAGTGATGTTACTGTGTGGTTCTAGTGATGTTACTGTGTGGTTCTAGTGATGTTACTGTGTGGTTCTAGTGATGTTACTGTGTGGTTCTAGTGATGTTACTGTGTGGTTCTAGTGATGTTACTGTGTGGTTCTAGTGAAGTTACTGTGTGGTTCTAGTGAAGTTACTGTGTGGTTTTTAGTATTGTTACTGTGTGGTTCTAGTGATGTTACTGTGTGGTTCTAGTGATGTTACTGTGTGGTTCTAGTGATGTTACTGTGTGGTTCTAGTGATGTTACTGTGTGGTTCTAGTGATGTTACTGTGTGGTTCTAGTGATGTTACTGTGTGGTTCTAGTGAAGTTACTGTGTGGTTCTAGTGAAGTTACTGTGTGGTTTTTAGTATTGTTACTGTGTAGTTCTAGTGATGTTACTGTGTGGTTTTAGTGATGTTACTGTGTGGTTTTAGTGATGTTACTGTGTGGTTCTAGTGATGTTACTGTGTGGTTCTAGTGATGTTACTGTGTGGTTCTAGTGATGTTACTGTGTAGTTCTAGTGATGTTACTGTGTGGTTCTAGTGATGTTACTGTGTGGTTCTAGTGATGTTACTGTGTGGTTTTCAGTACTGTTACTGTGTGGTTCTAGTGATGATACTGTGTGGTTCTAGTGATGTTACTGTGTGGTTCTAGTGATGTTACTGTGTGGTTCTAGTGATGTTACTGTGTGGTTTTAGTGATATTACTGTGTAATTCTAGTGATGTTACTGTGTGGTTCTAGTGATGTTACTGTGTAGTTCTAGTGATGTTACTGTGTGGTTTTTAGTATTGTTACTGTGTGGTTCTAGTGATGTTACTGTGTAGTTCTAAACTGATCACACATCCATGGAAGTTAAATTTTCAGGGTAACCCAAATACAACAATTGTGAACAAACAATGCTCAGAATCTCTGTCATGCATCTTTTATTTAACATGACTGCCCATAAATACCTAATTTCAGCATTTCCCCTTCATAGTAAAATTATATTCTGGAACGACTTTTTTTTTCTTTAAAACAGCTTTTGCTTTTTTTCTTCATATTTAATAGTCTTTCTTTTTTCTTTTTTAAACACTATTATTTCACTGTGTTTTCACATACCAGTCAATACTGTGTCATCTGCGTAACAAACTATTTATAACAACAAACTGGCTATCCTCCGAATAACGGTCTTAAATTATCGAGGCTAAGAAAATACCCTAACAGGGCCTCAGTCAAGTGTAAATTGTGGACCTCATCCCGGTGTCTATACCGCATGCTGCAGAAAAGCATCCGCTGAGTTTTCCCCGCGAGGAGGGGGGCTTAACTAAATGGCTGGGACTCACAAGCAGCAGCTACCGCATCTCCTGCAATTTCCTACATTTTATTTGATTCTGGGGGATACTCTTGGCGGAAAAAAAGTCCGCAATTTACATATGACTGAGGCCTTGTTAGGGTATTTTCTTAGCCTCGATAATTTGAGACCGTTATTCAGAGGATAGCCCAACAAACTTGCATAACAATTTTGGTAGCATTCAAAAGATAAAACTTTCTATGTAATATGCATGTGCACAGCAGTCAGAAAAACATACTGTCCATAGTACTATTTATCTGTCAGGCATGAATCCTGAATATTACAAGCAGAAAATGAATGAATGAATGAATTAATTAATTAATGAGTAAGAAATGGCATCATTGTAGGAGACATTTTTACGTTTTCTATTTCTTAAAGACGGTTATCCGCACCAGAATAACACAAATCACCATATTAGGGCTTCAGAACAGAAGTTGACATAGGAGAAAATGAACCGAACAGAATATTTCAATAAGTGAACTTTTCAAAAAAGCAAAAATATCTCAAGTCCAGAAGACATATCATTATTTAATTCTTTATGGCTCAATCTCTTCAGAGATTGGCTGGCCATCTGAAGATAGCCTCACATTAAATACAAACTCCACAGCTCCTTAAATATTGTATGTGTGAACCAAAAGGCAAACTCCGTGAAATGAACCCATGACCTTCAGAACATGACCAAAGAAAAGACCCACTGCCCCCAACAAGTACGCTGTAGGAGGCGTCTAATTAGGGGTGCTTCCTTCGTCAGAAAGTATCTGCTTGAGAAGTGAGGAACCAGAAGCCTGCGTACAAATAAGCCAGATCCGTAAAATGGATGTGTAAGCAAAACTCAAGTTCTGGAACAAGGCTAAAGTCCAAAAATTGACAAACAACAAGAACTTTCCACCGGAGTGTACGGCTGGTAAGTGCCAAGAAGAAAATGGTTGCGCAGACACTGATGGCATGTGCTGAATAGCATAGCATTTGATGATTAAACATCATTTCCACAAACCTATCATATGATATTCACTGATTTAACAAGATGAAATTAACATAAGAGTAGCTATTACCTCTCGCTCACTGATTTTCTTGCACTTTGAACATACAATCTGTTTAAAATAAATTAAAAAAATAATAGTAACTTGGAAATTTAAAAAAGACACAAGGATACAAGGCAATAATATCTCACTTTTCATAAGTATTCCTTAAAAAAAATATCATAAACAAATTTCAGTTCCACAACATTTTGCAGCAGAGGCCATGGGTGGGAATAAAACCACAAGCAGAAATTGTAACTGCATGACTTTCTTCTTCTGTCCTTTATCCCTCAGAGAATAAATCAACTCATACCATCAAGCCAATGTTCACTATGGCACTTGTCTCATTATGCCTCACTAAACTTTGTCACAGCATTCTCTAATCTTCTTTATGTATTTTTTATTTATCTTTATTTTAAAAGAAAAACAGACATACTACATTATCTGAAAATTGAGAACTGGCTCATAAACAGCCTCCTGTCCTGAGAGCTGAGGTATTTTTGCCATTTTTTAGCATGCAGTTTCTGGAAAATGAGGCAGAGGGTGACCTCTGTGAATGTGGATACAATACAATGAAGATGCATTGGCTATGAAAGCACAAAGGGCTGGAAAAAGAGAGACTTTTAGACATTCCATAAAGGATCCACTGATTGATTTGGGGTTGGGGAGGGGTGGGGTGCAAGAATTCATGACTTTTCACAGAGGCTAAATATTCAGCACAAATTACCATTTGATGAGCCAGATTTCTCTAGTATTCTTAACCAAGTGTATAAGAACACATTAACCCTTTAAATCCTAATACCTTTTGCTGCATGACAGGACACAACCACTTTAAAAAATACTGCAAGCAGAATGACTTTAAAGAGACAAATTATCCAGGATAGGTGGGGTCTCTGGAGAAGACCAATTTTTTTTAGTTTCCAAATGCAATGGGTTATATAACAGAAAAGATGATCGCTGAGACTGAAGAAGAAAAGGTTATCATACATCATGTGTTTCTTGGGGCTAAAAGCATTCAGTGATGATCTTATATTCATGAAAAAGAGTTTACTACCCATCAGTTGCTAATCTACTTTGCTACATGTTATTACTGGAGAAAAACCAAATCTGTGTCAATGGATTAGCAAGCAAATCAAGTTCTGGAACAAGATTAAAAATCTACAGGTGGAGAAACAGCCGGAACTTTCTGCAAGAGTTTAATGCCAGTGAATGTGATGAAGAAGAACTAAAACCTATCTTCAAAATTAAGTTGAATTTCAGCATAAAATTAAGCCTTGTTAAATCCCACAAACCTGGTTGACAACTGTTCCATGGTAGAGCTCATTAATTATGTTCTGGGCAGGTGTGCCAACTAAGGATTCCTCTATGGCACTAAACAGTATACGATTTAACTCCTGAACATCATGTTGCTGAAACTCCTGCAGTGAAAAAAGCATACAAGAAGTTAAAAACATATTCTCTGGGGATCTATCAAGGGCATCCTAGGGAAAATTTGATCTTTTTAGACCCGGCCAACCCCATGTGTGTTTTGGGGCTACATTGTGAGGAAAAAAGAATAGACACACTGCCTCCCACAACAAGCATGTCGTAAGAGGTGACTAGCTGGGGAGCTTCCTTCGAAGCAAAAGTGCATCATACTGTCAATTCTGATGGCTGCCCTATGCATTTAGCGCATATGTGTGCTACTGGATTTGCTAAGACTGCAGCCTGGGTCAATATTTTCACAAAGGGGCAATTATGGACATTCTGTGTGGTTTTGCCTGCACAGGAATGAAGCAACGATGTGGTGACCAGTTTGCTGTGAAGCCGGAACTGCAATTACCCGAATGACATCATTAGTTACAAATTTATATTCCCATTATTACAGCATCCTCTGTTCATAATTGTCATTACTGCCAATACAGTGCAGATGGAATAAGGTGATCTCGGATGTGGCGAACTTCTGCTCTGAAGAACAAATTGTTTGTACTCTGCAAATTTCTTGCCAGAATACTTATCTCAATAAAAGGAGTTTCTGATAAGAAGAACTATTTCTTGGGTTTCCGATGAGTTCTTTTTATCAGGTCTGCACCACATTTTAGAGCAGGTGTAGGATAGGGGGTCTTGAGCCCTAGGAATGAAGGCTGCATGGCCTACTGCTGACGCCATAAACTGTGCAAGTTGAGATGTTTCTTTTAGCTCCCAACAGGAAAAAATTTACATCTCCTCTAGGGTTCTAACCCATAGCTCCCGCAAGAAAGCCAAGCGTTCTAACTGTTCAGTCAGCCACTCCTATCTATTCATAAACGGCAGGTATTTAATCTGAAACAAGAAAACTTACTTCTCGATTGGTCCATCCAAAACTGTTAGTGAGGTCAGTGGTGCTAACACTCTGCTGGTCACTCAGAAGTAACTGTGAGAACAGACGCTGTAGCTGTAAGGGGATAGCCCGAACCTGGCAATAACAGAAACAGTACAGGTCACGACAAGCAATGAAATCAAAGATATCATAGCCAGCAGAGCGCTGAACTGCAGAAAAACTGCTTCTTCCCACAATGGTTAAAGGAAAGGGGGGGAAGAGATAGTGGAAGCTGATGATTATCATTGAACATCATCATTATTATAAAAGATAGCTGTGCCTAATATGCCTTAATTTAATTAAAATAATACATAATATGATAGTGGAGAATGTGCAGGCTAAAGTGTATATAATTTACATGTATAAAGCTGTCATCATAAACATATATTCATCTAAGAGGTCACCTTAAGGAAAAAAAAAAACTGGTGAGTGTTGGTGGCTTGCTTCCATCTACAGGAATGCAAGACATTCCTTCTGAGTAAAGCTGTGTCTTCTCCAAGCTGTTAATGAAACAGCATTTCTGTCCAGTTTGGAATATCATCACTACATTCTTTACATGAGCATAGGGGCTCTGATCATAATAAATCCATATGTGCAATCACTGTATTAGTCTGATACTGTTGAATAAATCCATAAGTGCACAATCACTGTATTAGTCTGATAGTGGGGATAAGCCTCAGCATGTGCTTTGTGTCTTGATATTTTCTGGCCATACCAATCTCTAATCAAAATGCTTGCATTTTAATTACTGACGTCAATTCACCGAGTTAAATGTCTCTTTCTGATCAGGCTGTCTGAAGGAATTCATGCTAAAGCTCTAATGCCTGGCTGATCTTCTAACATAGCAGCACAGCCAGCCTTTCAAAGTTTTCGGCTCTCCTTTAAACTACGGCCGGTAGACAAAAGTAGACGGCCAGTTAGTCGGAGTTCTGTCCCTTGGCTACAGTGCAATTACGGAGTGGAAAAGGCACGAATCACAAGACATACTGACGCCGACATGCTTGGCAGACCCCGCGCAGCGACTCAAATTAGCGACCGCGTTCAATTACCGCTTCTTGCTACGCATTACGGAGTGGATTAGAGGGAACCAAACAAGTGACATAATTACTGTGTGTTGGCGATAGACAGCGTGCAGTGCCCTACTGTCATCATAAGGTTAGGGTTTGGGTTAGGGGTAGGGTTTGGGTTAGGTTTAGGGTTGCTACTTTGAGTTTGTACAAAGACAAGATGCGGCGACACTAACCGCAACCCTAACCAAACCCTAAACCTAACCCAAACCCTACCCCAAACCCTAAACCTAACCCAAACCGTATGATTATAGCAGGGCAGTGCACGCTGTCTATCGCCAACACACAGTAATTATGTCATTTATTTATTCGCTTCCTCCTGTCCAGTCAATAATTGCACTACAGCAAGGGGACAGAACTCCGACTAACCGGCCGTCTATTGTTGTCTACCGGCCGTAGTTTAAAGGAGAGCCATGTTTTCTGTCATTCCCGATTACAGCCAAATATCATGTTATCTTCTTATTCTCAGCATTCTGGTTGTTCATCCACCTCTGAGCTTTGGCCTTGTACCAGAACTTGTTTTTCAAGCACATCAATTTTACAGATCTGGCTTACTTGTATGCAGACTGTTGGTTCCTTGCCTCTCAGGCAGATGTACTCGACTTCGCAGGAAATACTAATAATCAGACACCTCGTATGACATGCTTGTTAGGCCACTGTTGGGGGGGGGGGGGGGGGGGGCAGGTCTATTGTTTCCCCAAAATGGAACACCTCAAACCCATATGGGAAAATATTATGAAGTTAACTGTAAAAACTGTGATATGAAAGTCCAATACTGAACATCCCAATGGCAGTGTCTGCTATGGAATTACATATCTTTATTTTTAGTAATTCTTTTTATTAAGGGGGGGGGGGGGGGGGGGGGGTAGTGGAAGTGTCAGTTATCATCTCTCTCTCTCTCTCTCTCTTTCTGCACCTAGGCACAATAAACTCACTTTTGAGCTAGAACTATTGTCACCTCTAAGACTGCCAAGATCTTGCTCTGTTAACATGAACAGTTTTTCTGGGGAAAGCAAAGACATATCTAAAGTAAGAAGACTAACAAACACTGCTAAATAACAATACTACTTAAACCCTTTCATCCTGAGAAGCCAAAAATTGATACGTTGGCATGGGTCCCAATTCCCAATAAATGTCACTTTTCCAACTTGTCTTCAGTGACCTGTTTACATGAGACATTTAGTAATATGATTGGCTGTTTTGGTGCAAAGACTTAGGAGGTCAGGATATTAATACATTAACTAAAAATATAATTTGTGGGAGGTATGTGTTTCTTTGAGCCAAATTGCTTATTTAAAAGTCAGGCTGATGTCTGCATCGTAAGCCTCACTGATAAAGGTCCTTGCATGATGGCATGAGTCACAAAGCCCACATGTTTTTTTAGGCCCTGGAGAATGCACTCCACTTAAGGCTTTACCCTGTTCGTGTTTATTGATTAGCTCCTTCCTATATTTTATATATTTTGAAGAAACATAAAAAAAGCTTTTTAAGTGTTTTGGGAGGGTTAATTCTCATGTCAGCAGAATTGTTTGGCCAATGTGAAAAATTATATTTACCATACAGTTTATTATTCTTAAGTCCATGCAATATAACATGTCATCATGTCTGGCCACAGCCTTCTGCCTCATGAACTGTCAGACATTTCTGATACAGATGCTCCTCCGTGCCATGATGTCAAACTGTTCATCTTCACCATTTGCCCTCCCACCCAACACTCACACCCCTCTGGGTAGCCAGTTTTAATTGTGAATTAATTTCTTTCTCAAGATAGCTTTATATTTTTTACCTGTCCAAAGGTTTTCTTCTGTAAAACCACATCTTGGCAGCTCCCATATAAAATTAAGATATATATATATATGTATACATAATTCAACACACACAATTCTCTTCTATCTTACACACATACATGTAAGCACATATATGCACAAAGATAATGAGAATAAATCAGGGAATAGTAATGTGGTTTCTCTTAATGGGCCCCACTCCAAGACGTGGTCGTACACCTATTTGGGCAGTAATGTAGATAAAGATGGAGGAACAGATAGAGATATTAAAATAAGAATACAAAAAGCAAGAGGGGCTTTCATAGCACTAGGGAATTTGTGGAGGTCAAAAAAATTAAAAGAAATACTAAACTAAAATCTTTTAATTCTAATGTCAAATCAGTACTATTGTATGGGGCGGAAACATGGAGAACAAATAAGGAAATTACTAATAAATTACAAACATTCATTAACTGGTGCCTGCGCAGAATAGAGGGAATTAAATGGTATGATAGAATAACTTATGTAGAACTTAGGGAGAGAACTAAACAGGCTCCGGTGAACCAAGAGGTGAGGAAAAGACGCTGGCGTTGGATAGGACACACACTGAGAAAACAGAACAGCATAACTAGAATGTCTTTGCATTGGAACCCACAGGGCCATAGGAATAAAGGAAGGCCAAAAAACACATGGAAAAGAGAGCTGGAGAATGAAGTTAATAAGATAAGGAGGACATGGGAGAGCTCCATGCAATGGCGAAGGATAGAACGACTTGGCGTGAGTTGGTTGAGGGCTATGCTCCATTGGGGGATAGAAAGGCAGAAGAAGACATATATGCACACATACATAGAGCTTCTATGGACAGACCTTTCAACAAACTGACAGGAAACCATTTGAATACTTGAAATCATTTAGGATCTCATAAAAGATTACAAACTTAGTAGAAGCATCATATAGAGACATGAGATAAAAAGTTCTTCGTGAAGGAAAACCAACATATTTTTTAAATAACAACAGGATTGCAAAAGGGATGCCTTTTATTGCCTCTTATTACTTGTAGACTGGATAATGAAGACAACCCTAACTACAGCCAGAAATGTTATTCAATGAACCCTGACAAAACAGGTTGATTGTCTTAACCTTGCAGTGCTATCCCACAAATGAAATCTACTAGAGCAGGGCTATTCAACTAAGTTTACTCAGGGGCCACATTTTTTAAACTGGGGATTGTCATGGGCCAGAGTCCCAGCATAGACAGATCAATAATATAATACAACTGGCAATGATCCGTGGGCCACTTGCTAGGCCAAAATAAATTTTAAAAACAGCCAGTCAGATGTTTAGGTTGCTAAAAATAAATATGACTGTCAAACAGAAAGTTCTTAAACAATAGAAACAGCCGGAACTACCCCTCTTGAACTGATGAAGTATCTGAGCCTGGGAACACCATCTGCGAGAAGCACACATCAAAGTTTGCTATAGAAATTGTTTTCCCCTGACAATGAAAGCTAAAACTAGGAGAGATATGAGATAAAGAAGAAGAGCTGCCCAAAACCAAATGAATGCTCTATCTCACATGTTAACAAAGAATTTATGAAGTTACCATAATTCAACCAATCTGATCTTGTGTACTTTTCTTTTTTTTTTCACTGCAACCGACCTCCTATTTCCAGTTGGTGACTCAAAAGTGTTTGTAAGTGCCTGTATATTGCCTCTATATCCTTCTCTTGGTCTGCCTTATAGTCTATTTCCATTTAACTCTGTTGTGTAGTTTCTGTCTCTCTGTTGTTTGCCATACTCTTAATATGCCTTAGCTGTACTCTGGACAGAAAATTACCTCTGAACTCTGGTGTCAACAGAAGCGTTTGCAACAAGGAATTCAGATAACAGGTAGCTCCTTGATTGTCAATCCCCGCCAAGCCACAATCGAGCCTGTGGCCAGGAGGTGAAGGTATGACAGAGACTGCTGATGCTGCTGCCCCCTGCTGACCCATATCTTCGTTAAACAAATTTCCAAACATGGTGTTTCTTTGCAGCTGACAATTCTTGATGATAAAAAGACAGCAAAACAGAACAGATTAAAAAATCAGACATCTTAATTAATCAGACATCTTAATTTACAGACTTTCATTTTGTTTCTTTCACTGATTGTTTCTTCTGCATTCATCTCACAAGAGCAGCTGGGACACTAGTTTGCAGTTAGGCTATTGAATCTGTGCTTTTTTAGCCAGCATATCTAATGTCAGCAAACCCAGTTATTCACATTTTATTACATGCTTGCTATGTGGGCAGTGAGTGTATTTCCCCCATCCCCTTTTCCATTGAAAAATTGGGGCTCCTGAACACACATGGGAGATCTTTCACTGGTGAGAACAGGTTTCTCAAAGTAAGGGTTAGGAATTAGCTGCAGAAATAACTCTTCTTCCAAAAATATGCCTGATGTGGTTGGTTGGCAAAACTTGTGGAGGACTTAGGTTCTGGCTCTTAAAGTCTAATATTTTAAAGTTGAGGTTAATTAGGCACTGAGGTAGGATTGCAGCTACTGGAGAGAGGTTGGTGTTCAAACTCTTCACCCAACCTGGTAATTAAAAGATCCTCTCACAGAAACTATGCTGCAGGGTTCTTTTCCCCCTCTAAATGCTCAGAAATTAGTCAAATGTGAAAGACCGATACTGGAACTTTACACCTGCTGAAAGGTATAATGGGGTGTAAGCAGGTCATATAATTCAGCACAGCACAGAAAGTTGAGAAAGTCTCCATGTCAAGGCGGTCAAGCCGTTTGCCTCTCGCTTTGAAGGCTGTGGGTTCGTTTCCTAGATACATCACTTAATACATGAGTAGAGTTTTTACAGAGATTCTTTGAGACTTGCTGGATCTACAGAGTTCATGTGTTACGTGTCATTCTCAGCAGATGGCTAGCCATTATACAGAGAGAGAGAGAGAGTTAAAATCAGGGTAAAATCTGTTTCCATTAATTTTGTTGTGGACAGGGGCGTAAATATTCACATTATTATAATTCCTTCTACTGCAGAGAAGCATTAACTCTTTGAGGCCCAAGCAACAGTGTGAGTGTTGTTTGAGAAGTTCCATTTTGCCGAAACAACCCTGTCATCGTCAATCGTGTATCCCGTACATTTTGCTTCGCACATGGCTCCGTAATTGTTTTTAATGTTCGGAAGTACGATTAAACTATTTAGGGAAAGTTACTCTGCCGAAAATCCTTTCAGATACTTTCCCTTTCAGAAACCATACGTGCATAATTTGATCGGATTTACTGTGATTTTTTTTTAACAGTGCACTTTCTAAGTTGGTTTTCGAGTGCCATGAATACCAATGTTCCCATCACAAGTACAGGTCGCAGAATGCGTCTTTCTGCTGCTGAAACCCTGAAATTGTTTCAGTCAGATGTTTTTAATTCTGATAATTATAATGAAAATTTAGATTTCTCGGAAAGTGATTCAGGCGGTGATTTTTCACCAGCGAAGCTGAGGGATCAGCTGTTCTGAATCTAGCAATTCTGATGAGTTTTACACAGACAATGTCCCATTGCTACCGTATTTATGGTGTGAGAGACCGAAAGTGCTCTAAACAAAGATATTGTACTATACTATGGCTAAGCTACATTGAAATCATCACAGTTACAGTACAACTGTAAGTTAACTGTACAAAGTAAATAGTAAATAGCGTGTGTATTACACTAATTTTTGGGCTATTTTTTCTCTGAAATTTTGCTCAGCACTCTGTGAGAACTAAGAAACCCAGGGTGCTAAACTAACCCAGAAACTTATCATAACTTTGGATTTTGTTAGGAAATTGAACAAACACTTTTTGATTTTTTGGGCTATCTTCCGAATAACGGTCCCAAATTATCGAGGCCAAAAATATACCCTAACAGGGCCTCAGTCACATGCTAACTGCGGACGGACCTCCGGCGACTTCAATTGCCCACTTCCAGCGACTTCCGCCACCGCCGAGAGTATCTCCCACGCCGGTGGCATGGATTGGGGCTAAACTAGATGGCTGGGACTCACGAGCAGCTACCGCATCTCCTGCAGCTTCCTTCATTTTATTTGCTCGTGAGTCCCAGACATTTATTTCCACACAGGCCTCGATAATTTGGGACCGTTATTCAGAAGAAAGCCAAGTTTTGTTTTTTTCAAATTTGAATATTCACTACTCTTGTGGCTGCAAAATCATGGTAAATCAAGTAAATGAAGAATTTGTTTATAAAATTTCAGTATTTTCACTGCAGATCACAAAAGTGTTGTGTAATAACGTTTGCTTACATAATAAATTACATTGTACACACCTGACTAGCTACTGACCGCTCATTTCTCAATTTCTTAGAAATTAACTGGAACAAAAATTAAAATAATGTTTCATGTTTCTTTCTCGAAGTAGTTAGTAGATCAAGATTCGGTTCTTGGAACTTTCCCTGGCTGGCAATCTGCTGTTTTATTTTTCAAACTGATTTCCTAATCAACTCCTGCAGTAAATTGTGTGAAGTCATCTTCACTTAAATTAAACATAAGTAAGACACTACTTCTATCAGCAGAACTTCACAGGATGAGGGCCTCAGATCACAGACACCGACAACTTGTGTGTAGCCAGCATCCACTTGCATCGCCTTGTGTAAGTTTTTTACTTGCTTTGGTGAAAAGGGAAATTTGTGAACGGAAACTTTAACGAAATAAACTTGTCATTTATTTGGCTGGAGTTCTTATTGAGGGAAGGACCTATAGACATGTCCAGAGTGCAATAATCTTATCCCAACTAACTAACTACTTAATAACTAACTAACTATTTTGTTTTGTTAGTAAATTGGTCGACAGATTATCCACTTCGAACCATTCAGTCCATAAGTGCTCGGATCACCTCCCCATTTTGTCCCACATCGTGTAGAAGCTGGTGACACTAGACCTGTGTTGGTTTATTAAATAGGTTTGTTGCGTATCCTTTACAGGACGTTGTAGAACCAACCCCAGCAGCCCCAGACTGTTGTGTGGTTTCTCTTTGCAAATTTAAGTCCAGTAGTTTGCCATTGCTTTGTGGACGGTCCCTTGATACCACTGTGGAAACCAACGCAAGGCGCATGACCCGCAGCTGGGAACGAACCCGGTACCCCGGCATGACGAAGCGTTCGCATCGACTTAGCCACAGAGCCGACGTTAAATAATCATCTATGGCTTCCTGCGTAGTTTTGTCTGGCCACATCCCTTTTACCTTGCTGTTCTTGCAATTTTGTTATGGTTGCAGATTCAGTCACTTGGTTCTCGCAAACGTCTTTTTTCTCGTACAGCATTCATTTAGTAAATCAGCTGATCCATGGCTCGTCCGACCTTCGCCTAAGTGTCCTGAAACGAAAATGATCTTAGTGTCAGCCCCGACCGCCTCAGAGGTACCAACCACTGTCTTCAAGCCCAACCCATCTATATCTTCCTGATCATACTCACTAAGTATCAGAAAGTAGCCCGCCCCAAAATGGGACGCAGTTTGTATTTTAAAACTCCACCCCGGCTTTGGAGGCCCTTATATAACCTAGACGTTGAACGGGGTTTCTGTGAAACGGGTTGAACGTCATTCACTCCCTGAGTGTGGCTTTGAGTTGATTGAGTTGGGCTGAGTTATGAGTCAAATTATCTTCACAGCACTCCGGACACACCCACAGACGCCCAGATTCCCCTCTCAACAGATTCATCAGCGTCGCGCGGTTAATGGTGTCAGTCCTATGTTGGTTAACAAGACTTCGTGTGCGTCCAGTGTGCTTCTTATGCTTGGCTGTACCGATCTTGACTCCCAATTCTCGTATTCTTAGCAGTGATGTGGACACGTTGCTTCCAAAATCCTCAGAACGTCCTATCTCTCTAAGGGCAATGACAATATATGTGTGATCCATGGGCCGGTCATCTTCAATTAATGCAGCACCTGCCAGTCTATCAGCTCTTTCATTACCAACAACAACTGCATAGCCTGGGACAAATATGAAGGTAACTGCACACACAGGAGTATGGCTTTCTGTTTCTGGCTTTGTTTACAACCAATCTTGAAACCGTCATATTATCCAGGGCAAGCTACAGGAAGCAGGGACAATATGCAGACAAGATTTAAAAAAAAAATGGAATCTCAGCGGGGATGTGGTTTTAGAAAGGAATGCAAAGAATATCTTGAATATTATTTTTTTAAGAGTAATTGTTACTCGAGACCGTTGAAACGGTCAACCGATCAGAAAAATTAAACGAAGACAATTGCGAGAAGGAGTGGACATAACAAATTGGTGATGGCTGGCAAGATTGGTGGAAAGAATGTTGAATGTTGAATATTGAAATAAGAATCGACCCTCTCCGGCCCCATCTGCAGCAGCTAACAAAGACTTGCAATTTTGATGGCCCAGTAACTGTCTGATTGTATGTGCGTCTCGCCCTTCCCCTAAGTGTTGAGCGTCTGCCGGTTCTCTTCGCAGTCCCATTCTCCTCAGACCGCATTGATATATCTATACCTCCGCGCTGTTTACGCGCTCCCGAAGGGCCCTCACAATATCTAGCTTGTCATACATCAATTCACCACCAAGTGGTGAACGGCCAGCTTTCCAAACGCACCAGCATGACCTGAAGTAAATATCCAAAGGACGCTAACTACCCGGGACCTCTGAAATGATGCTTGCCACTCTGCACGGAGCATGCCTGTCTCCGCCTTTCTCAATAAACTGTGAGTCAGTTACAATCACGGCATGTGTGAATAGCTGATTCTCAAGCCAGCGGAAGGCAGCCACACTGCCTCCACCTCCTTAATCAAACTAGACGTTGTGATAGCCTATGCAAGGCCTTGTTGCACTAAGTGACGCCCATTCGCGTTTCCTATGAACCCCCATGCACTTCGTCTGCCTCTCAACACAGAGCCATCTGTATAGATAATCATCACATCACTTAAACGGGAATTGTCATGAACTTCTTATTCTGCAGCACAAGCTGGCCAGTCCCTGCACTCACGACCTAAAGTGACTGGAACCCTACATAAGTCTGAA